GGATATTCTTACAGCAACCCTCAGAGATAGATTAGGATGGAAGCTGGTGACTGTCCTAAGGTGTAACTTACAACTAAAACTCAGGACTCACTGATCCAATGTTTTACCTGCTGTATCTGCATAACGAAGACTATCTGCACATTTGTCAGCAACTTTGCATAATATTCTTTAGGTTTGCACAGCACTGCAGGTTTCTTTGGAGTTCCCCTTCGTGATACCCTGTGAGTGATTACTGCTGTTTTACAGATTGAAAACTGAGGCTGAATCAAGATGATTTATTTTCCTATTGCATCTTTGCTTTTGTGTGATTGTTCAGTGAGTTCCAGTTTAAAATCAATGGTGTGATGTCTGTTCCATTCATAACTGGCAGAGGTGGATGGCCATGCAGTGAGTAAGGCAGCCCTATTTGCAACGTATGTAGCTGCAGAAAGATATTGCACAGGCTTTGAAGAACTTCTTTTTCTTACTGTTCTTTTCCTTCCGGAGGCTGAATGTCTTCATTGCTTCTTTTGACTTTGAGTGTGACAGGTCTAAGCAGTGATGTTGTGTTGCATTACTGAAGAACTAATTAAAGACAGCTACTTAAAACAGTTTATTAAGTGTGCAGAGGGGCATATTTATTATTGTTGGTCCCCTACAGTCTACTTCTGGCTAGCACTGGCTCCAGGAGAAGTCTCTCTTATGTAAGTGATGCAAAGCAATGATGTCACAAATCGAACTTGGGACTTTCCAGATGCAGAGTCTGTGCACTCCTCCACTGAACTATGACCTTATTCCCTTTGCTTCAGGTCAGGGAGTAGTGTGGCTGGTCTCCAGTGTTACAAAAATGAATGAAATAATGAAGAATGGGTGGGTTGCCGTTCCTTTGCAATGAAAACATAGCTTAGTTGCAGAACTGCAGAAATGTCATCTTAAGGAAAGCTGTGTGAATCCCACACCCAGTAGCAAGAGCAATGCATTTGTTGCAGAAAGAGGGGTTGCCCTGAGTATTGGAGGCATTTGTGGCTGAACTGGGGTTAGCATTCAGGTCTCTGAGATCATAGGATTCCCTAGTTCTTGCAGAGTGAGGAAAATATCAAGAACATTAATGTAAGGAAATGTTGGTTCTTGTTTTTGTTTGCAGCTAATTGGAATCTTCTTGCAAAAGACATCAATCATGAAAATGAAGTGAAGGGACTTTGAGTGTTCAGAAAGTCTGCAGTTGCTTTTGGATACTCCTTTCCCTCTGTACAAGAAAGCCATTGGGAAAGGGAATCTCTGTGAGAGGAGGCTCCCAATTATTATGTCCCTTTCAGTGTTGAAGGACAGATGGGACTGCTCGAAAGCCCAAACAGCATCAATGGACGTCTGCTCCCACAGACTCCCTCCAGTGTGGATAATTGTACAAGACTATGGGAATTGTAGTCCTGCTGTCAAGAGGGGCAAATGTTCTGCCAGCTCAGAGGCAACCGAAAAAAAGAACACCCACATTTACAGGATTAGGAAAGCTAAAAGGGGAAGAAGAGTAGCTGGAGGACAAGAGCTGTGGAGGGCTGGGCAGTCATGCCTGGGAAATTGGATTTTACTGCCTCTGTACACTTTCTGCCCTGAGGCTGAGCTCTTTTCTCCACAGCAGGCTCTTCCCAAAGAACTCTTTAAAGACAGGCTTTCCTGGGCTACGCTTTCCTTTTCCTGAAGGTGTAGGAATTTACTTGGAGGAAGATGCAGGGTGAGCAGAGGCCCCTCATCCTAGAGAAACAGGACAAGGACAGGGTGGGCTACAGTCTTCATAAGTATACCTGTGCTTGCTTCTTTGGAAATGGGTGGACTAGCAATCTGATCTGTGCACACATGCAGTATCTTCTATATTTTTTTTTAATATAGGGGATAAGGAACTTCTGATTTTCCCCTTCCATGATGTTTTGGACTATAACTCCAATATGGCAGTGGTTCCCAACCTTGGCTAGCCCAGGTATTCTTGGACTGCAACTCCCAGAAGCCTTCACCACCAGCTGTGCTGCTTGGGATATCCGGCAGATGCAGTCCAAAAACACCTGGGTTACCCAAGTTTGGGAACCACAAACACCGAGGAATGTCATTGCGTGTGTCATTTTAACAAATGAACAAATTTGCCCATTACGGAATAATAGCAGAGCTTCAATGTCTGGATCAATAGAGTATGGAAGAGCGATTATTTTTGTCCTATAAACCTTTCACCAACATGGCCACTGGCTGAAAGTAACTTTTTCACACTCTACCAGAATGTTAGTTGCCTTGGTAGAAAGGTATATGTTGAGATATTCAAAAGGCAAAGCTGCAGTTTCCTAACAAGGCACACACAATTCGGCATTTTACTGAAGTCAGTCATCCATCTCTAAGCAATTGCCATAGTCTTCTGATTTATTCCCATAGTCCAACTTCACCTCCCTGTACCTCCTGCTAGGGGTTTATTCAGTGCTTTTGCTGTCTTTTGTATAAAGCCCTGTAACCTTATCCATGCGAGACTTCCCCCTGCGGTTTCTTTGTTTAGTCTGTTCAAAAGAGGGATGAGCAACAATTTCTTTTGATTCACGTGTTGATAAGAACTTTCCAAAATTCACAAATTTCTTCATAAATTTGATGGAGAGAAAGGGGAATTGGCAAAAGTTCAAATGTAGGAGAAAACAAACTCGAAAAACTCACCCAGCTAATCCATTCAATCTAATCTCTCTCCTCCTAGGGTTTATAAAATCTCAATAATTTCTGCCATGCTCCGGGATATAACAGTAAATTATGAGATGCAGATTTTCAATATGACAGCCATGTTTTTAAGGACCAATTAGAGACTAGCACAAACCAGCGGTTCATGTCAGTTTGATTAGTGGCCAGACAGACACTTCAAAGCCCCACCTCATCTGGCAGGTCCCCACAGAGGCAGCAGCCTGGCTTCCCTGCTCCGCCTCCTCTGGGTGTGGCCCTGGAGTGGGCACCCACCAGAAGAGGCAGGGCTTTGAAGTGGCAAACACCTGTTTGGCTGCTAAACAAGCTGGCAGGAACCGCTGGTTTGTGCTAGTCTCTAACTGGTCCTTAAAAACATGGCTGTCATATTGAAAACTGGTGGTTCGTGCCCATCTCTAAGAAGCATCCTTTTTTAAAAAAACCTGATATAGTCATATCTATCAAACTAGTTTCAACAATGTTCATATCTACCAAAATCAAGTATTTTGTAAAAAAAAATGGATTTTATTTGCTCATTAAATATGAAGCCAGCCAGAAATACATTACATTATAGCATACAGAGAGAGAGAGGGAGAGGGAGGCAGCTCATAACAAAGTATTGTTGTTAGAAAAATTTGAACTATACAACCCTGAGGGTTGCAGTTAAGTTCACAGGGAACAGGGAAGCTTAAAGGGCTAGCATATGGTGTAATCATCCTTTCCTGTCAACGTCCTGGAGCTCTGAGTCTTTCATACCTAGGTCCACTCTACAACTGGCTATGTTTTTTTTCCTTTAAAGCCTCCAAAGAAGGCAATCTTGGCATCTTCCTTATGAGATGTGGCAATTTTGTCAAGATATTGCAGGCAATTGTTTAACTATTTAAACAAATTTACTATTTTATTTTATTTTTATATGATGATTACATGATTTAGCTTGCTGTAAACTGCTCAAAATAGTGCATTTAATGAATGGGGGAGGTGGATGGATGGATAGGTTTATTGAGAAGCTATATGTGCAACAGAGCAAATTATTGAACAGCAACAAATCATGGGTAACTCAACCATGGCTCAATGTTACGGTGAAACAATGGATGGATGGATGGATGGATAGGTTTATTGAGAAGATACATGTACAACAGAGCAAATTGTTGAACAGCAACAAATCTTGGTTAACTCAACCATGGCTCAATGTTATGGTGAAACATGAACTTTGTGTATGGAAGAGAAGAGGAGGGAGGAAGGGGAGAAAGAAAGAAAGAAAGAAAGAAAGAAAGAAAGAAAGAAAGAAAGAAAGAAAGAAAGAAAGAAAGAAAGAAAGAACAAACAAACAAACAAAGAAACAAAGAAAGTGAGGAAAAGAGGACTGACTATGTAGTGTATTCATTCATTCATTTGATTTATATACCACCCCATTAGTGCAAACACTACTCTGGGTGGTGTAGAGAGATGTAGATAGAAAAATAAATCCTGCTCTGGTTTGATTGCTTGATGAATTGGAGCTTTGTGTACAGATAAGAACATCATTATTCAAATGTTTCACATCTCCTAGAAAGTGAGGAAAAGAGGACTGACTATGTGGTGTATTCATTCATTAATTTGATTTATATAGCACCCCATTAGTGCAAACACTACTCTGGGTGGTGTAGAGAGATGTAGATAGAAAAATAAACCCTGCTCTGGTTTGGTTGCATGATGAATTGGAGCTTTGTGAATTTTCCTGGATGAGTGTACAGATAAGAACATCATCATTATTCAAATTTTTCACATCTCCCAATTTTGCAATACAATTCTCAGCTCCCAGCTTTCCTCCCTTCTTTTCCCATTTTGGTCCTGTAGCCACTTTTTTTCCTCCTATAGGCAGTATTTATGGTATGCATAAATAGTGGTACTACATAACTGCTAAACATTATGATGATACTACACAGCTGAGGGTGCTAGCTCTCATTCACCCTGTTGAGATAAGAACATCATTATTCAAATGTTTCACATCTCCTAATTTTGCAATACAATTCTCAGCTCCCAGCTTTCCTCCCTTCTTTTCCCATTTTGGTCCTGTAGCCACTTTTTTTCCTCCTATAAGCAGTATTTATGGTATGCATAAGTAGGGGTACTACATAACTGCTAAATATTATGATGATACTACACAGCTGAGGGTGCCAGCTCTCATTCACACTGTTGTGTAGACCTTTGTGTAAATAAATGAATGTGTGTCAGTGGAGTAGAATGCAGCCTCTGCAGCAGGTCTTGCCAATGATCTTCTTCTAAAGGTCTTGCCTCTTTGTCTGAGCTAAGCCAGTGCCTCTTTCTTGTCCTCTGTCTTACAGATTCTACAATGAAGAGGGAAATGCTCTTCCTCGCTGCGTTCCATGCGATGCTCTTTTCTTCACTGCAAGTTATGGCTCAGAAAAGGGACAGAAGTAGGTGGAATATTCTTGACCAAATGTTGCAGAACAGCCCATCATTCAGTGCACATGCTTTGAAGGCATATACTTAAAAGCCTGGAGAAGTTATCTTTTTGGACTACAGGACCCAGAATTCCCAAGCCAGCATAGCCACAGTTCACCTCCCTATTGGCAGTTCTTGCTGGGGGATTCTGGAAGTTATAGTCCAAAAACTCAACCAATTCAAGTTCTGCCTAATATCTTGGGGGAGTGGGTGGACACAGCTCTCCAGTTATAAGGTCCGGAAAGAACACTCTCTCGAGAAGAACCTAGGAAGCTGTCTCATATGGAGTCAGGCCATTGGTTTGTGTAGCTCACTACTATGGAACTGCATTGACCAGCGGAGGCTCTCCAGCACACCTGAGAAGGGCACTTCCCATTCTCACCTGGAGATGCCAGGCATTGAACTGCCAGCCTCACACCTGCAAAACCTATCCTCTCTCTCATTGGACTGTGGTCCTTCTCTGCAGTCAATAACTGGTCCGACTCCATGTAAATCAACTTAGTGTGTCCCTCAGCATATAATACAGTACTTTACACTAGCATAAAAAAGGCATTTCAAGAGAGATCCTGCCCCAAGGAACTTAAGACTGAGTGACTGTCTAAGAACTGGGGCATAAATTGGACAGAACAGGCTTAAGATGGGGGGAAAATGAGAACTTGAGGGAGATGGGGATGGAAGATTCGGCCATCTGTAGCAATGGCGGTCCAGTTTATCTATGGAAAAGTATTTCCAAGGGCTTTGAAGAGCCAGAGGGGATGCTGCTGCTTTCACAAAAAAGCATTTAGTGTGGGACTGCCTTATTTTTATCATGCGTCTTTTAAAGTTTGCCTTTGCTTTTTGGATCTGCACTGTGCATCCTTGTAGACAGACTTATCTGTAGCTTTTCCGTGAGGCATACATATGATGTGTGTGGTGAGGTGTCAGACAGATTAACCTATTGCCACTCAGAATGCTTTCATTACTAAACTTTCTAGTTGGAACCATTTTTAAAATGTTAGTCACTCTTTTCTTTCACTTAGTATTAAAACACTTTTCGGGCTTAAAAGAAAATCAAAACATTCATTTATAAAAAAGCAAATTATGAAACATGGTAGTGCGGAAAAGTGTATGTGTGTGGGAGTGTGTGGGAGTGTGTGTGTGTGTGTGTGTGTGTGTATGTGTGTGTGTGTGTGAGACTGATTGAGTGAAAATCTCTGCTGCTCCTGGCTGCCTGTCCTGTGTGTGTGTGTGTGTGATTGAGTGAGTGAAAATCTCTGCTGCTCCTGGCTTCCTGTCCAGTCACCATTATTTTGCTTGCATTAAGTTGGCTGGTGAAGGTCATATCTACCCAGACCTCTCCCCATGAAAGCCCTTTCCTAAGTTAGAAATTGATCCTTTTTGGTATAAGATGCCCTGTTCCAAAGGAATTCTGAGATGCAGTTTCCTGGCAGCTAGGAAGGATAAGCAACGGAGAACTCCCTGATGTGTTCCCTGTTCTGTAGCAAAAATAAATGATGTACAGTGACTAGATGGGGGGGAAACCCAAGCTGCATTTTCTCATTGAAACAAGACATGTAGGAGGTACATACATTCTTGCAATCTGATCTTTTACTGCTTGAAGGTTTACGGGAATGCAGTTGTGCTCCAAAACAAAGCACATATTCCTGGTGGCTGGAAAACTCAATGTGTCAAATTATTATCTTAATGTTTGAGGAGAAAATACCTCATAGAGTCCTGCTGAAATAGAAGTTGTTCTGCTGCTGCTACCCTTGGACCTGGAGCCTCAAGTTAACGCTCTCTGATGATTTAATTTCGAAGGAATGCAGCATGCATGAGGTACCAAAATAACTTCCTTTGTAAAGGACACCTGACAGACATGCTTATGTATTCCTGAGCAGCTGCAGAAAAGTAGCAAAGAATGTGTCATCAGCCTTAGGATACACACAACCTTCCTTTTGGCCCATGTATGTCCAAGTGTAGGCCACACCCAGCTCCTGGAAAAAAAAAAGGGGGGGAGATGCCTGTCACACATCTATACTGGAAGTTACAGGGATGAGGGGAGGTTGTTTGACTTGGCCATTGTTCCATTGCAGTGGTCTGCACCAATGTTTACTTGGCTGACATGGTGTTCCTGGTGGATGGCTCCTCTAGCATCGGAAGAGCAAACTTCCGCATGGTCCGATCTTTCATGGAAGGGCTGGTTGTTCCGTTTGTCAATGTGGTGGGGGAGAACGGGGTGCGTTTTGGAGCTGTGCAGTACAGCGATGATCCCAGGTGAGTCCTGATCTTGCTTGTCTCTGATATTGGTCACCTTAGATAAATTCATAGAGGGTGGGTCTCTCAACCACCATTACTGTATAGTTAAATGGCATCAACCTGTTCAGAAATACTGTAGTGCTGCAAATCAGATGCTGGAGACAAATACCATGCCTGGCAAGTAGATTCCTTAGAGAGATCAGGTTATAGGAACCAACAGGATGCCCACATAGCTTAATAGAGACTTGCAGTGATCCAGCAGGCTTTTTCTTGACAGAGAGGGTTTTAAGTTTAGCAGCATTCAACCCTCAGCACCTTTGGGCAAGAAAGGAAGAAGCCCTACAGAGCCACTATCAGTTAGCGTCAACAACACTAGCGTACATAGGTGTGAGCGCACTAGATAGTATATTGCAGCTTCGTATGTTGTTGTGTCCTTGGAGAAATTTTTTATTTTTTATTTTTGCAAAGTGGCTGTGTTTTGAGCAGCTGACTGAACAACATTAGCTGGTCCCCAAATATTGCTGGGACATATTTCTTTTTGGTTTCAAGCTCTCTTGAGATTTAAGCTTGCTCTTTTAAAAGCAGCATTTATGACATGACCTCTTCTTGTTTGTCTGAGAGCCAACAATTCCTTTTATATGACTTAGAAAAACCTCATTAGGAACCTCCACTGAGACTTGGACTTTCTGAAAAAAACTATCTGGTGACACACAATCTGCCTGTAAGAGGAAGTCCTCCTGTAGACCAGGGTGGGGAATGTCAAGTTTTGGGTTTGAGTGCTTACACTTGTTAGTGGTAAGAGCTTTATGCTAAAATACATTGGTACCTTTTGGTCCTGTTTTTTTACCTTTGTAAAAGGTCTGTCTGGGAAAAAGGTCTCTGAAAATGAATTTGGCCCTTGAGGTAGCTGTATATACATGGAAGAGAAATGGAAGGCCAAGTATAGTGGATTTTGCTGCTGCCCTTTCTCCCCTTTAATTTCTTTATGATCCCAGGACTGAATTCACATTCTCCAAGTTCTCCAATGGAACAGAGGTGATGAGGGCTGTCCGAGACATGGCCTACAAAGGTGGGAACACACGCACTGGAGCAGGCCTTCGTTATGTGGCAGATAACTTCTTTGGAGCCAGTCAGATCCGGCCAAATGTTCCAAAGGTACTATGAAAGACTGTCCTTTTGCCAGATAAGAGAGAGAGAGAGAGAACAAAGGGAATTCCCAAATGGTGCAGACATAAGTTCATGTGACTTCTCACATCTGATGGCTTGTACTGAGTTCGCGATACTGGAAAATACATATATTGAAGCCAGATTGTTAATGGTTACTGTTTCTGGGCAGGCAAGTAAAGAGAGAACTGTAGAATTCCTAAGATCTGAGAATCTTCCTGTACGCAATATCTGTCCATTCAGGACACAATCTCACTAATGCAGCAAGCACTCAACAAACATGCAAAGACTGTATATCCATTTTCTCCTATCCGGTGCCCTCCAGATGTGTTGGATTCCAGCTTCCATCATTCCAAGTCAGCTAGCAGCTGGGAATGATGGGAGTGGGAGCCAATATATCAATATGTCAGCAGTCGGGAGATGCCTGCTGTAAGTGGTTCTACCAAATTTAACAAATAAGGCACATACTGGAATATTGTGTGGCCTTTATGGAATTCAGCAGAAGCTATATGGTGTTTTGAAAGCAGGGGAGATGGCTGGGTCTCCGCTGCATTTTCTGGATAGATGGCCCTTCTCCTTAAAACAAGCAAGACCACCCCCACCCCACCCCCAATATCCCTCATTTTGATTTCTGTACCTGAGCTCTCAGTCAATATGTGTTCAGACCAGGAGCAGTGAAACTGTTAAAATTCAGGAACAGGGACTGATTCGGGGTTCCTTATTACTTTCTCTTCTGCCTTCAGATCTGTATCCTCATCACAGATGGAAAGTCTCAGGATGAAGTTGAACAGGCAGCGATGAAGCTGAAGAATCAAGGCATTAAAGTATTTGCTGTGGGTAAGTGGTTCTTGCATTCATTTCCTGTGAGGGGTTGTGCCCCGTCAGGAACAGCCTTCTTGGGCCTTCCCTCTCCACCCATGCCCCTTCCTTCCATCCTTGGTTCCCACTACTTCCTCCCTCAGGCAGCTGCAGGCTCTGTGCTGGCTGGGTGGAACTAGTTCATGTTTCGGGGAGTTCTTATTTACCACATTAAGACTGGGTAGGGAAGGGGAATATTGGAAGCATTTGATGGAGCCCCTCCGCAATTATTAGTCCTGGAAATCCTCCCCTTTGCACAGATTTCACGTGTCCCTGTGATGGTATATATTGGGGGAAAGGGTCAGTTCAGATAAATAGATGTAATAGAGTTCTAATGTGATGGTTGGGGGCAGGGGAGCTTATAGTAACTTCATTAGCACACTGACTAGCTTTCAAAACGGCTCCATATGTAGGTATTACCATGATCATCGTATTGTTCTGTAACAATACAGAAAATATAATCTAGAACAGTGGCAGCGAACCTTTTTGGGCTCATGTGCCCAAACTGCGGAAAAAACCCACAAAAATCTAGCGGGTGGTGTGCCACAGCGGTACTGGAAGTGGCGGCGGTAGAACCAGAAGTGGGAGCAGAAGGGGGAATCCCAGGCACGGAGGTGCCTCGAGACCCCACTCTGGATCCACCACCAGCACCAGCTGCTCCAGATCCGCCTGCCAAAGTACCAGCACTGCAGCTGCAGCCACTTTCTCAGGTTTGGCTGGGGGGGGGCAGTAGCGATCCAGCGACTCATGGCTCGCATGCTGGCAGAAAGGGCTCTGCATGCCAGCTGTGGCATGCGTGCCATAAGTTCACCATTGCTGACCTAGAATATAATTCTAAAATAAAAAATGAGTTGATAGATTACAGTTGGTTTCGTGTGGCAAGTGTGTAGAGGGATCCTTTCCTTAACAAGGCCATGAAAGTTCCAGGGCTGGCCATAGTTCATTAAAGGAAGAAAAAGCCACATAGAAATATAAGAAGAGCCATGCTGGATCCCACGAGCAGATTCTTTAGTCAAGACGCTGTTTCTCACAGTGGCCAACTAGACGCCTCACTGGCAAGCTCCCAAGCAGGACAGGAGACCAAAAACACCCCAGTGCTCATGCTTCACAGCAACTGATACTGAGAAACACACTGCCTCCAATACTGGAGATAATTTCTAGCCATCCTCACTAGAGGATATTTGAAGATGCCTGCACAGCAGGACTTAATGAGGGTCTGCCCCCACCCCACGGGGCTGGACTGTCCATCCACACGTCTTGCTGTGGAGCCAGTCCCACTCATCCTTCCAATCACTCCTGGAGCACCAATCTCTTCCCGCTCAACTGGCCACTCCAGGCAGGGATGGGAGGATGAGTCTCCCTGCACGGTTGCTGAGTGGCCAGCCAAACAGAAAGAGAGCAGCGCTCCAGGCGTGATTGAAAAGATGAGCAGGACTGGTGCTGCATCAGGATGCATGAGTGGACAGTCCCGCCCTAGGGCCCAGACCCTCGTTAGGTCCAGCTGCACGGGGATATTTGTATTCATATGCAAATATGAATGCCCCCATCTCTAATCCTGACTAGTAACCATTGAGAGTGGTATAATATACCAGATGAGCGGGATATAAATCAAATAAATCAAATAAATAAATAAATACATAAATACATAAATACATAAATTCACAACTGAAGTATGAGCTAGCATGAAGGATCAGTACTATCAGTGGTGTTTTTGAACCAAAGTTGGCATTTCATCAGTGCTGAACTGCTAGTTTGCTTAGATTCTTGTAGCATTCAGGCAGAGGCCAGCCTCACCCTTTGTGTAGCTTGCAAGCATTGTGTGTACTTGTCACTCCCATCAGCTCCCCAGCTCAACATGCTTAAATGGTGCCAAGCCTTGACTTAGCCAGCAATTCAATTCCATTTTGCACTGGCTACTGAGCTAAAATCTCATAGCGTATGTCTGTGACAAAAAGGACTATGAGGCCTTGAAAGCAGGAAGGGTGCAGTGGTTACCTCAGGAAGAATGAACATTAAAGACGATTCTTAATTGTCCTCTTCTCCCCACTGCTTAGGTATCAAGAATGCAGACCGCAAGGAACTAGACAGAGTGGCTTCCACACCAACCGAAGATTATTCGTTTTATGTCACTGACTTCAAAATACTGGCATCTCTGCTGCCATTGGTGTCACGGAAGGTGTGTGCCACTACAGGGGGCATTCTACAGATATCAGGTAAGAGGCCTGGGGGGAAAAAGATGGTACTTGGCTTGATTTTGCTCTGCTTTGGTTCTGAGTCTCTCACTCTGGCAGTGGCAAGAGGAGGATTTGGCCTGCCCCTGTCGTGTTTCCATAGAAACATCCAAGCCTTAAGTAATCCTGGGGGAGGCTCCTGATCAAATCAATGTGATACTTCTTCCACCAGGGTGACTGAGCTCCCACCTTGCTGTTGGTTTAACTTCACCATACCTCACCCTGCAGGTGACTAGCATCCTAGTTCTCCTCCAGGGATTTCTGGTGTCAACATAGTCACTCAGCGTTCTTCACATCTTTCCACTTCAGGGAGGAAAAGAGTAGCTTTTCTGAAATTCTCAGCTTTTGCTGTCTATACATGTAAGATCAATGACTGTTCTAGCAAGGAGCCTGATTTCCCCTTTCTCTCTCTCTCTCTCTCCTTTCTGAAGGAACACAGGCGTATACTGGCCCCTCAAACTTGGTCTTTTTGGAGCAGGGAACAAGCACACTGAGAATCCGATGGACTGCAGCCGGTGGTCCTGTCACAGGTTATATAGTACAGTACGTGCCTCTCACAGGCCTGGGACAGCAAATCATAGCTGAGAGGCAGGAGGTGAGCACATCACTTACAATGCAGTACAATGCATGTTTACTTGGAAGTAAATTAGAGTGGAAAAGAATTTAATTGGGATCAACATTTTCAATTGAAATGTCTATTTTGTACCTCCCCCCCAAGATCTGTTCATTTTGAAAAAAAAGAATATAGACAAAACTGCATGTACCTTTTAAAAAAAATGAATGGGTAAACGTGTAGACCATTGAAAAAGGCACACATACATTAGTTCAGCTGTAAAAATGTGTACAAAAATTATACCTCAAAAATGTGCAACAGTGCTGTCATGGGCAGTGGCAAATCACCACTGATTAATGGCTTCCTCTGCTGATTTCTGAGTGCATGCAGCTTTGTTGGATCATGTGCACATTGCATGCACTCCAAAATTTCCTTTGTTCAGCAACAATTTGGCTTCAGTCAGTGACAATTTGCTGCTGATGTCATCTCTATTGTGGAACTGCACAGCAGGATTTTAGCCTTCGATTCCTGTGTGAGAAAAAAGTAACAAAACCAGAACTGAGAGAGTTTTGCATCCCATGTTAAAAGTGGTATTTACTTCCAAAGAAGCAGGCTCAGAATTGTAGTTTCACTAGCTGTGATTTGACTCCATGGTGTCCTGAAAAGGGCTTGGGATACACATTCAGGGTCAATCTGTTTAAGTTTGCTTCCTTCCCTGCCCTCCCCCCTTGCAAAATACAAGTAACCCAGACCCATCAGTCTTTAGACATCTGACTGTCATGATCGCTAGCAAACATTATCACCATTCTGTATTCTGGAATGGACTTTTGTGATTGTTTACTTACCACATATTTGTACTGTTATTATCTTTTTTGTTCAGCTAAAGTGTTTTGTTTACATAATAATATGAAATAATGGAATTCTCCTTCCCTTCCCCTTTGTTTTGTTGTAGGCGAGTTTTCTCACAATGTCATTTTTTTTCCTGGTTAGCCCAGCAACTTCTCTTGCTCTTCACCTATTTCTCCAGTACTTGAAATGTTTTCCTTAGACTGCATTCATTTTTCCCCTCTCTTCCCCCCCTCCTTTCTGACTTTATGAATGAGTTAGTTGTGAAAACTTCCATAGTCCACATTCGCTCCTGTTTGACAGAGAAACTGGGAGCTTCTGGCTAGGAGTAGTAAGGCAGAGGCTGTAAGGTCATCAAGAATGCTATAATTGTCCCCTGCATTATGGATTCTGCCCTGAGTTTGGACTAAATGACCTCCATGATCTTTCACAACTATATATTTCTATGACTCGTTATCAAGATCCTTTGAAACAACTCTTATTATTTGTTTGTTTGTTTGTTTGTTTAATTAATTTGTATACCACTCCATTCTGTTTATCATAAAAGGGACATCCATTTACTGCAAGTTATGGTGGGGGGGGAAACATTTTGTTAGGTGATGATTTTGCTGCTTAATTAACCCATCTTATTGGATGCACTGCTGTCCTTGAGATGGGAGTTGCAGGTGGCATTTAGCTCTTTTCTTGCCCCACTTCCCTAGTTTAAGTTGCTGTACCCGTATTTTCAATTAGCTCTGCAATGAGAAAATGAGGTACTTGTATCATGTCTGTATTTTCTCCTAGAGAAATTGATATCAGTTTTGGGACAGACTGATGTTGCAATTTATATTGGGAAAACAGGGCAGACAAAAGGGTTAAAGGCTTGCCCCACCGCATTGCTACTCCAGTCGGATGTGGGGTGCCCAGCTCTCCTGTCTTCGGTATTGGCCCCAAGGTCCCCAAGAAGAGAGATCCTTCTCCAGAGTTTATTGAGCATGTTTCATCGTGTGTAGGGAGACAAATGCTGATCATTGCTTCCGGTCTCTTGCACAGTATGCGCAATATTCTGACATGTGACTGGGGTGTGATTAGCATTAATCATTATGTGCGCATGAAAAAAAAATCAGAGTTATTCTTGCTCTTGGACAGGTCAGTTTGGGAGCTGGCGAAACGAGTACCACGCTGCGTGGCTTGAGGGGAGGAACAGAGTACATGGTCACTGTGATTGCCCAGTATGCCAACAGCATTGGAGAATCGGTTTCTGGCAAAGGACGTACCCGTGAGTAATGAGATCTGCCTTTGATAACACCAGTACTCTGTGATTTCTTTGAGACCTCCTGATACTTGCGTTTGTAATGATCCCTAACAATGGCCTAATTCGCCCTCGCCCAGTCTGGTACCCATCCAAGGGGGGTTGCACTGCAACTCCTCATCATTCCTAGGTATCATGATGACATGTGTGGCACTGCTATGTGCAATAATCCACATAGGGTTTTCCTCCCACTGGAGGCTGGTGGCTCCAGTTTCATAGAGATAATGAATCCACTCTGGGATTTGGCTCACATTTTAAAGGAACTACACAAGATGCAGGGCCTAGCTTCTGTACAGTTCAGAATAAAAACTGAGTGAGCACAGACACATACACTCATACAAAACTGGAGTTCCTACCATGTGGCTTCCTTTCTGCTATGGAAGTGCTTTCTCTAAAAGGACACTGAAGCAACTGACTTGGCAGTAGTTTGTTCAATGTGCTTTGCTGGTTAGACTCTTGGATTAGGGTTTAGGGGAGACTCAGGTTCTAAAGTCCACTGAGGTATGAAACTCACTGGGTGATCTTGTGCCAGTCACTTTGTCTCAGTCTGAGACCTTCCTCACAGGTCATTGTAAGATAAAGTAGAAAAGAAGGAGGGAGGAGAGTCATGTACATCACCTTGAGTTTTTTCAAAGAAAAGACAGAATATGCATATAATAATTACAATAATTAGTAACAATAAGTGCAGTGGTTTGATATTTAGCAAATAGTGCTTGATCTGTAAAAGCAATTGACATTTTTCAGCAGTGTCAAAGGGGAAAAAACACATTAAGGTGCCTGAAACTGTCTTTTTATCTGTTCATTAGGACTAATCAGTGTTTAGAGAAGTTATTTTTTTGAGAATATCGCTACCAAAACCTATGAGTCAGTGTGGTTTCTGGGAGGTATACTGTAGAACAACATGGTAACTTTTCCAGACTCTGCCACTAGTAGGAAAGCTGCCTGCTAGCTCTCCTTGTTGATACAAAACCATTATGGAAGGTTTATCCCGTTTCCATGGCATGTTGCCGCTTGATACAAAACCATTATGGAAGGTTTATCCAGTTTCCATGGCATGTTGCGCCTTTGGTTGGCGAAGGCAGGCATGCCAGTTCCAGGCCTTCCTGGCTGGATCTGCACACTGGTAATCTCCAGCATCAGTTACTCTCATATGTTAGGCCTGACTTTCAAGGCTTCTTCAAAATTTCAGTTATTTTAATTTGATTTGTTTGTTTATTATGAAATGTGCACGCCTTTGAAAAAGATTTTTCCCTCAGGGCTGCTCAGCAAGAATACAGCTGCTCGGCTGCTGTCTGAGGCTGGCCCTATAGAACCCATCTGACCTGTTTTCAAGCAGCAGCAAGTCTGGACTACTTGTTGGTTTCCAAGCTCTATTCACAGCACTGGTGCTGCCTTTTCAAAGCCCTGCCTAGCTTAGGACCCAAGACCTGAAGGACTGCCTTTTCCTGCACAGACCTTGCCTGTCTGTTGAGCTCATAACCACATGCTCTTCTCCAAGTGTCCCCAGCCTTTCTGAAATCAGGGTGGTGTGCAGCCTTTCTGAAAGCAGGGTGGTGTGCCATTTAGCCTACGGTGTCTCTTTGGGGGGGGGGGACCACACAAAGAGGCTCACTCGTACCTACTCTTGAGTCCTTTTGATGAAAGACTAAGCTGGTTTCCCTTTCCTCAAAGGTTAAGAACCACTGATTTAGCCTATGGTGTCTCTTCAGGGAGGGGTGGGGGGGAACCACACAAAGAGGCTCACTTGTGCCTACTCTTGAGTTCTTTTGATGAAAGACTAAGCTGGTTTCCCTTTCTTGAGCTTTTCTAAACACTGGCTGACAGCACAGCCTTTTAAAGCGGCCTTGCCCCACTTGGATTCTCACGACTCCCCTCAGCCTGACACAATAGGGTCAAGGGGTCAGGAATAAGGGATGATGCATTCCAAAATACATGAAGGACCAAGCGCAGGGAAAGCTGCAGATAATGTCCTCTGAGAAGTGAGTCCCTACCGAATTCAGTGAGACTGACTTCCAGGTGAGTGGTGTAGAACCGCAAGCTCAGTTTGGTTTTACTCCACTTTGCGAGTACTCATGGATGTTTGTTTTTAGTCTCTTCCATTTTCATTATGCTGAAACTGTCTGTTTATGTGTGTTTTGTTTTTATTCATTGTTAGGCACCCCTATGGTACTGTATATGTTTCTGAGGAGCAGGGTGTCATTAAACAAACAAACAAACATATACGAATGTAGTTCTTTTTCAAGTAAACTCCCACATAGCAATTTGGGATTAAAGCTGGATCCTGGGTTGTAAAACGCTGAACAGTGCTACTGTCTCCAACGAAAGGCTCATGAGAAGAGTGACTGGGGCAGGCTTTTCCTGCTGAGGAATGATATCTCATTCCTGCTGAGTCCTGACTGCTGTTGTATGCAGAGACGGCTGGCGAGTACAGGAGTACATGAGCTGTGCTTGATCATGCATCTTCTCGTGACACTCTGGAGCAGGATGGGCAGCGTGTCACTGGCCAATGGGACAGGCAGAGCACGATGAACTTTTCACTCTCCAGCTTTTCACTCTTCACACCTTGTTTACATTGCAGAGATCCTGTCTGGAGTGACCAGTTTTCGGGTGTCAGAAGCAGGATCATCCTTCCTTAGACTGTCGTGGGCTGTGGGCCTGGAAGGCGTGCAAGGCTACAGGCTCACTTATGTGGCCAGAGGTTAGTGAAGAACTTGATAAGGCTGCCACGTGGGGCAGAGGTGCAGTGGGTACGGCAGGGAACACCCCATCCCCCAGTGAACTAGATGGAGCCTGGTATCAGTCAGAGCCACTGCAGGAGAGATTTAAGGCTCCTTTGCCATTTGCTGGCTTGAGTCTTTCGGAAGCTGCACCTGGAGCTGCCCTTCCCCAGCCTGCAGCCATCCCAGTGCTTTTAGCCCTGGCATTTCGCCCAGAGCCTCACCTAGTGCACAGCCACACCTGCTGCCAAGGCAGTGTATCTCCGTAGCAGAGAATGCTGGCCCCGTGGGCACTAAAAAAGCTGTTGAGCTCAGCAGAACCTTCATTATGTTGGCTGAGACTTTGCTCTGCAGCTTTGGCCGCAGAGAGCTTACGTGTTTACTCTCATTGTCCTCCACCTCATCCTGGAGTCTTGTTCTGGCCGTGCGGGATATTCATCTGAGCACCACAGCACAGACACGAGTTCTGACTCCTGTCCTCTGAAGGAGACTGGTGAAACGTTCGGAAGAACAACCTTCAGAACATGGCCAAACAGCCCGAAAAACCTACAACAACCAATCTGTAGCAATGTTAAACCTCACTGTAAACTTCACAGGGTCTACTCACTGGAAGAAAACACTTCAATTTTTTTCAAGCTGCTTCTCTGTGCACATCTAGGGAAGCCATGCCTAATCACAAAAGAGAGGGGGTTGATATTTAAGCCAGTCTCATAAAGAGACAGCTCATGCTCACTACTGTTCATGTGCTGCTAAAAATTTTTTTTTGGCAAACACATTCCAGTGTCTCCTGTATTCCATCAAAATCTGGCCTTAACATTTATGAGAAGACTATTAGAAAATCTGTATTATACAGTGGTTCCCTCTACCATGATATAGCTATGGCTGACGACTGGTATCCGTATTATATGTCCTGTAGAAATGAATGGGAGAAAGGATGCCTTCCCCTGCCTCCTTGTTTTGGGAACTTTCATAGTCTACTTCCAGATCTTGCGACTTTCTGAAAGCTTGAGATATGTATTTCTCTTTTTGCCTAAATGGACAATGAGCAGAAATAATGATGGGATGAAAATTGTGCTTTTTCAGGGATGAAGCAGAGGCTGACAGACCTGTGTGATTAAAAATTTGGCAGCATCATGAGCTGGCATATTAAATACTCTTGAAAGAACAAATGGTTTTATATAAACTTTCTGGTAGTAGAAGGCAAATGAGAGTACTGCAATGATAGGGGTGCTGAATATCATACAGCTATTAGCTCATTTTTGTCCATAAATCTAAATCTGTTTCTTTTCAATAACTCTGTCCACCTGTCCAATAGAGATGATTCAGATGTTGTTCTTTGTACCTCATCAGAACTTTTCTACCAAATATGCTTTATAGCTACTATTAGCTAGCTCTTTCACAATCTGATGCCCTCCAGATGAGCTTGCCTGCCTGCTGGCTGGGAATGATGGGATAGGATGGGAAGGAAGTGATGAAAGTTGTTGTATTTCCCAGCTGGAAGACACCAAGTTGTGGAAAGTTGCCTAACAGTATTTTAAACCGGGGCCTCTGATCTGCCACATTGCAATAGAATAAGAATTGCCAAGTTTTGCCATTGCTTCTGTCTTGCAGTGAATTCAGGATTCTGTCCCTTTCTCTCAGAACAGCACCAACTCTTCGATGTAGGAGTGATGAATCCCTTTATCTTTCAGTCATTGGGCTTGCCTCTGTTTCATGGTCATTAAGTTGCAAGATGAAATTTTCAAAAATGGAGGGACTTTTCTATTACGTTCCAAAATAAGAGGTGACCCTTCCAACCAGTCATGTCACTTATTTGTGGGACCTCTTTGACGGGTCTATTTGCCGCTTACCAGATCTGGGGGGAAAATATTCCCATGCTTCTGTTATGTAATTTATTCTGAATTTTTATTCTTCTTTTTCTGCTCAAAGGTGAAGCTGAAGCTGAGGAGGTGACCCTTGGGGCTAGTGCTACATCGTTCTTGCTCAGCAACCTTCGCCCTAACACTGAATATGTTGTCACACTCTACCCCATCTACTCACGACAGACAGTACCACCTGCTGTGGTTCGTGGGCAAACATGTAAGTCCCAGCTGACCTGGAACAGACCTTGTAGATTTGGGAATTGTAAGGTTTTGTTCTCAGGAGGCTTTGCCGTGCTTTAGGAGGACCCGTGCTAAGCTTCATTCAAGGAGAAGTTTTAGTGATGGCAGTTGCAGGAAAGACCGATGACCCTTGGTGACTGCTATGCTCCTGGCTAGCCCTGTGGGAGTACCCTGGGCCTCCAGGAAAGAGGTCCTTTGAATCATTTCCCACAAATATCATGACAGGCAGGGATGGCTCATGCCCTGCCCAAAATATTGGATTGAAACTCCACACCATCTGCTCCATATGAGCCATCTACGATGATAGCTTTTTCTAAAAGTCGTGTGCTAGATCGTATGTTTTTGCTTGGAACAGATTTTTCAGGCATCTATTCACAATATGCCATGTAAAGTATGACCTAGAATAATGCACAACATGATCAACAGAATTGGCCCACCAGTTCCATTTGAACTTGGCTGTAGACTCTGAGAAACCAAGGTTCAAGAACACCTTTTTTATTTTTTTGATATAAGCCATGTCTTACGGTATTGGTTGCCTTTATAGGGTTTTGCAGTCAGGGTGTGTGTTCTGTTGCTGAATGTTAGCTTGTGGGAATTAACCAGGAGAAACTGGTATGTTCCACCAGTGCCCTTTGAGATTTTTTTTCTTTCTTTCCTGAACTGGCCATGATATGAGAGAAAGCTGAAGGTAAAGGAACTATTGGCTTAAGCTATTATGGTGCTCGTGCATCAGTGTCCCGTGGCTATTTCCTAAGCATTAAGTCCTGCTGAATTCATTGGGACTTACTCCCAAGTAAATGTTCACAGGATTATAGCTTCAATGCAGAGGACAAGAGTGGTACAGATTGCAAGGCAAGTTTGATGAAAATGTGGTATTCTTCATTTTATTATGAAGATTTACAGTATGTTTGATCTTTTCTGTTCCCATCAGACTTTACTATTTTAAAACTACTTATGATTTGCCTAAGAAGTATGACAAATATGAAAAGTAAAAAAAGAGAGAGGAATAAAAAAACGTTCTAAAAATAAGAAATGCAATTCATTTCTTTGTTAGTTTAGACTGCGAAGGGGAAGTAAATTTAAGTAACCCTATATTTAACTGAGAGTCATATGTAGAAACATGCCTTTCCAACAAGAAGTATTACAGCACTGAGCATGTAAATGTTTCTGGTTTTGTTAATCCCTTAATAAAAGGGGGCAATGCATGTAATTGCAGCAACACATCCTCTGGGTGATCTCAGAAGCCCCCTCTTCCAGGAAGCACAGTGGGGATTTGAATACTTAACACCTGTCAATCCAACCTACTGAATTATATTAGCACCACTAGCCTGAGATACTAGGGTGCAAATGCGTCCTGTAATTTTGCTTATGCCTTGAAACATCCTCTTATATCAGTTTCATCCATTGGTATCAGGTGTAAGATCAAGCCTAAAGCAAACAGCATCCTAGAGAAGAAGGGTCCTTAGTGCCATTCTTCCTCTGTATAATTTTGGATGGTATTTGTAGACAATTTCATAACGTTAATGCAAAATTAGCTTGCATCGCTTATCCTTGTCGTGTAATACTAAAGTGGCACCACAAGTCCAGTGCCTGAGCATCTTACCTGGCAGGTTGGGGTCTGCTAAACTGTATTTATTTTGCAGCAGAACATATGAGTGCCATGGAGCCTTTGTTTCCAGCTGTTGAGTCAACAATTGAGTAGTTTGCCTATAACAGGCAACAGAAGCCCAGTGCCCTGGCCACTTATCTCTGTTGCATGCTCATAAGGCTTAAGTGCCTTAGAAGTTGTAGTCCTTCCCATTTTTTACTGATAGTATTTTATGCATGTGGTGGTCTTTGGGTGGTATTAGGTCTCTGTAGTGTAACAGTTTCAGGATTTTGTTTCTACTTCAGGCAATTTAGACAGGCATTTTAGTCCAAACAACAGCTTATTTTTTAATATATTTATTATTGGCAGTTTAACATTTGCATGTGTAAACCATCAATATCCTTGCAACATCTTCTAGTTAATACATGTAAATAATTGAAGTTGCGCTCTTTTATCAACTTTTACATAAAAACTTAGGCAGAGGGTAGTCATGTTCTCTCACATATGTATGGTGAAATTAGGAATGGAGTATTGAATGGATCTGAAACATCATCATAACTTTCTCTGTTGCTTTTTACCTCTCTGGTCAGTGAGTCTGGCAGGAGTGCAGCAACTGTCTGCTCAGAACATCTCTTCCCAAAGTATGCTGGTGACCTGGCGAGGTGTGGGTGGAGCAACTGCATACCGTGTTACCTGGGGACTTGTCTCAGGTATGTCTTTTTAGCTACTCTGTTTTCCTTCTTCTGTCCCATTGTCAGGGTGCTAGAGCATACGATGAGCAATATAGGCAATGTGGCAGATCTTCTTTTAGACCACTTGACTGACCCACCTAGCTTGTATGTAGGTAACTGCTCACATGCTCCCTTAGACTTTATTAGCTGCTTTGGTACATTATGGAAGCTTAATAGAGTAGTATTTATTTCTTCCAGATATAACAACACCCTTGGTCCTTTTGAGGAGAAAGGCAATTAAAATAAATAAAATATTTTAAATAAATAAATAAAATTAATTTAAAAAACCAACAGTTATTTTCACATGTTAAAAATCAACAGGATTTGGGGCAGCTGTATAATCAGCTTACTATGTGATTAAGTGATTGGTCTTTGAATGAATCAGCACCAGATAATGTCTGTTTCTGTTTACTCTGATGGGAAACTATTCTGTTCAGCCCTTTTAATGCGTAAACTTACTGATGAATATTAAGAAAATCTCATGAGGAATCAGGAATTCCTCTTGAGTGAATCAGTACTGACACGAGCCTGCAGTGGGCGGACTTGGAAGTGGGGGCCTTGCAGTGTTCCATGTTCCATGGGCTTGTCTACGTGGACTCATTTGGAGCAGGCTGGTGCAGACTAAATAGTGTCTCTTAAGACTGGGTAGAGATCTGGTCTATCATTAGGTGCTATCCATGCATTCAAATGGCATACTCCCTTCATGCAAGCCTATTTAGTCTGCCTGGCTGTTGGAAAAAAAACAAAAGGAAAAAGAAAATATCCTCTTCCTTGCTCCCTCTTTCCTCCTCTTGCTTCTGGAAGGATGTTTCCAATTTTAATTTTTTTAAAAAAAGTGACACAGCACACCAGCGTTGCCCTAATACATTTTAAAAAACATTTTACTTCCTCTGGTCCACAGAGCAGAGGAAGCATTTCATTTCCCAATATCATGAAGTGGGTGTCTTTTTAAGCTAATGAACAATATGGGAAATGGAAAGAAGAAAGCAAATTTATGCCACAAGCTTGTTTTGGTTCATTTCCAGTGATCACATGCACTGGAAGCAGATCAAAATAGAGTGATCCTACCCACACTAAACAAAGTAAAAGCCCCTGACAAGTGACCCAGAATGGTACAGGTCAGGACCCTCTGGGGACAGGCTGGTTCAATTCAAGTAATTAGGTCATGTGCACTCTCTAGATGTACCCATCCATTATGGGGATGATGGGGATATACTGTAGATGTTGGGTCTGGGGATAGCGTACATAGCCCTATCCCCCATTCATTTGTTCCTGTACCCTCTTTGGCCATAATGACTCACTTAGACTGGAATCTCAAACATCTTTGATATTTAGCTCTGTGTACAGCTTTGTCTTTTATTGCTCTAAATATGACATACATAGTCTGCAGGCTTTTTTAATGCAGTCATGGTCAACAACACTATGAGAACACTTTCTGGACATGTCATATAGAATAAATGTAACAGCTACCAACATTTTTTGTTACTTGGTGTTTTCTTTAGGTCAGGATACTCAGACAGCTGATGTGGATCCCAGCAAGAATTCTTTCTTGTTGACTGGACTGCAGCCCAACACTGATTATGTGGTAACTGTGGCTCCAGTCTACAGGCAGGTGGAAGGGCCCAAGGCTTCCATTAGAAGAAGAACTGGTATGTGCACAAGGGACTGCTGCTGCTGCTACTACTACTACTACTACTACTACTACTACTACTACTACTACTACTACTACTACTACCTACTACTACTACTACTACTACTACTGTTTTATTGGACTAAATTCAGCAGTACATTTGTGATCACAGCAGAAATGTCTTCCCCTTTCCTTTTCACATCAGCCCTCCACATGGCCTAAAGCTCTCCAGCGCTGAAGAGTTTTGAAGACCCTTAGAGTGGTTTTGGGAGGTGCATGAGAAACTGGAATGAGAAAGGAGAGCAACTTCTCTCTTGGTTCTACTGGATCCTATTCTTCTGCCACCACTGGATACCGATGACTGTGATTGTAATTTTAATTTGTTGTCAACAGTGCCAGTAGTAGCAGTGGCAAAAGCAATGGTAGCTAAGCAAAGTAGATTAATTACCAACCCATTTATAAACTTGCTTGTCACAGAATAGTTTGTGGAGACGTGACAGTGAAAGTTGGTGCACAGGTTCCATGTTTCAGATCCATATACCAACTCATACCACAGCTATACTCAAAGGGGAGAGGTTAATACAAAATATAATGCAATCTCATGTCGTATTTCTTGGAAGAAATGTAGAAATGGAAATTGGTATGCATATTCAATACAACATCCTACATTTCCAGGATGAAGCCCTACTAAACTTATGCTTTTGAAGAAGTGACCATGCATGCTTGTTACTTATGCTTTTGAAGAAGTGACCATGCATCATTTAGTGGTGGATGTTGTGCTGATTGGTTGTCTTCTCCCCACTGAAATTCTCCTAAAGTCACAGGCTCATATTTGAGGCATATTTGGAAGGTGACTTAGTGAATGGTTATTACAATTTTTTCTGTGGGTGAAAAACTCTGCTGACTCTAGTTTGTTTACCCTCTCTTTAGAAATACTTATAGTCCAGACACTGAGAATCATAACTGTTGACCCAACATCCATCCAGGTGGCCTGGAACATCATCCCCAATGCCCGAGGCTATCGGCTGGAATGGAGAAAAGCAACAGGTAGGCTGGTCAGATCTATACAGTGTGTGGAGAGGCTGTGTTGGAAAGGTTGAGAGAGATACCCGTGGAAGAGATTCTTTGCTGAAGACTTTCATCTCTTTTTTTCCTTAGCCACCTCCAGGTTTTTCTAGGATGTGGCATTTAATAGTCTCTGTTAGGTGTAGCAGCTTCAACTTCTTTAGAAAAGGCTTAGAACAGGAGTGAATGCTCTACTAGGGTCTAACAGCCACACCCTCACCTCTGGCCTTTGGAGGGCCATAGCGACTCCAGCAACCCCACATTTTTAAAAATTCAGACTAATACCTTCTGCCTTCTAATGTTCATAATGTGCTCTCAGTATTTGGGAAGATGGAGTCTCCCCACCACCACCTTAAAACATGGCACGATTGCCATTTTGCCCCCTATAGAGCACAAGAAGAGTTTCTGAGTCAATATTCTGTTTTCCAGTTTTAGGGGGAAGAGTCTGGTTGGGGGCACTGGGGATCCCTGGAGTTGTGGGATGTGGGCCCCTGGGTTGTTGCTTATTGCCCAGCCCTGGCTTAGGAGGAAAACTCTGGAGTTGTTGCTATTGAAAGTTCTAAGGAGTAGAAAGTTGACAGGCCAGGAGTTGGCGGTCATTGTGACTAAGAAGTCAGTCTTCTTCCACTGTGACAGCTGCATATGTACTCCCTCAAAATCTGTTCCTTCCTATTTCTGGATTCATCTGCAAACATATCTATTTTAGTCTCCCTTTTTAATGCAGACTTGAAAAGCATTTAAGTGTTCTAAACACAGTTTTACTGGAGGGGGGGGAATCTCCACTTGGAGTATTTTCTGAAACACAAGCTGTGTCAGAATATTTAGAGAGAGTAAAAACTGCTGAGTCATTTGCATCGTAACCCTGGAGGTGGAAATTAGGTCAGTCCCTCAAGGATCCTTAACTCTACTTTGTACCCATCTCTAGGCATGGAGCCCCCCAAGATGGTGTCGCTGTCTACCAATGAGAACACCTACACTATGACAGGGCTGCAGCCAGGCACGGAATATTACATCACTCTCTACACCTTATATGATGGCAAGGAAGTGGCCACACCAGTCACCATCTCACAGACAGGTGAGAGAGAGAAAGAGAAAGAGATACCTGATGCCATTTGTTGCACATGTAGTCCTCAAGGAAAACAGTTCTGTAAACAGTGCATCTAGTTTTCACAGCTGGAGAGGATGAAGGACATGGATGTGCATCTGCAAAGTCTGCCTCTTTCAACACCAGGTTGATGTTTTAACAAATATGCTTCCCTGTCTCCGAATCTTACTGCTTAGTGGAGAAATACTTGCCTGCAAAATTAGTTTTATTTTGTTCTGTTGGAAATGGGTTATTCCATTACGGAAATTTCCAGAATAATATTTTTGGCAATTAAACTAAACAAACTGGATTTGGGAGATTTCACTAATGTGGAATTCTTACTGGTTTGGGTCTGCTGGTATTGCCCTTTGGTGTAGAGTGTTTTGTTGTTTTTGTTTTTTTGCTGAGGTTCAAAGTTGAAGTCCAAAGCTTATCATCCCTTACATCATAAGTAAGTCCTCTTCCTCCTCCTCCTCTTCTTCCTTCTCCTCCATAACAAATACAATTGCAGCCCTTCCCTGGTCTCATTACATGGCAGCTCCAGGACTGGCAACTTAGTTCCTCTTGTTGGCTTCTCTGATTTTGTGTTGCAATTGTTTTGCAGGGATAGCATCAGTGGGCACCGTCTCTGACTTAAGAATCCTTGAGACCACAGGAAACCGAGTCCGACTGGCCTGGACGGGTCTCCCAGGAGCCACAGGGTATAAGATTGTGCTACGCAATACCCAGGGTGAGCCTCTGAGAGAGCGAGTGTGGCCTGTTTGGGAAAGTGGCATCGGGCCTGCTGAAGTTTTAACAGCCATAGGATCAAAAATTAGAGCAAATAGTTATGCAAAGGTAAAGGTAAAGGTTCCCCTTGACAATTTTTGTCCAGTCGTGTTCGACTCTAGGGGGCGGTGCTCATCCCCGTTTCCAAGCCATAGAGCCAGCGTTTTGTCTGAAGACAATCTTCCGTGGTCACATGGCCAGTGCGACTTAGACACGGAACGCTGTTACCTTCCCACCAAGGTGGTCCCTATTTATCTACTCGCATTTGCATGCTTTCGAACCGCTAGGTTGGCGGGAGCTGGGACAAGCGACGGGAGCTCACTCCGTCGTGTGGATTCGATCTTACGACTGCTTGGTCTTCTGACCCTGCAGCACAGGCTTCTGCGGTTTAGCCCGCAGTGCCGCATCGGGCCTGCTGAAGTTTTAACAGCCAAAGGATCAAAAGTTAGAGCAAATAGTTATGCAAGGAAATGATATTCCATTCATTGACCCTGGGAAGCCCTGCCCTAGCCAGATTCCTCACTTGCACAGGCTTCTGCGGTTTAGCCCGCAGTGCCACCACGTCCCTAGTTATGCAAGGAAATGATATTCCATTTATTGCCCCTGGGAAGCCCTGCCCTAGCCAGATAGAATTCCTCACTTGCCTCCTGATTTTATATGCATGTTTCTAGGCTTTACTGTTACCTTTTTTTAAAAGGGGGGTTCTCGGCTCATTACCAGTCAGAGCACCAGCAAGGTAACACCACAAATACATAGCGGAGACAGAACCTGGGACTTGTGCATATGGCTTTTGTGGTCTTTGTTGCAGATGGCACAGAGAAAGTCCGGCGTATCCCAGGCTCCCAAACCACTGAAGACCTAGTTGATCTGAGAGAAGATGTATCTTACGTGGTCCGTGTGTCAGCTCTCATTGGTAATCGTGAGGGTAGTGCTGTTCCTCTCAACATCCGAATCCGTAAGTGTTACCTGGAACCAGGTTAATCCTACTTGTGTTTAATCTACCTCTTACGCGGCTTCTGTGTTCCCAAGATAGAAGCAACTTCCAAGTGCATTCTTACTTTGTGAAGACAAATGAGGTTTTCCCCATGGAAAACAAAGTAAGCCACACAGTGGGCAAGGGAGAGGGAGATGTACCTTCTACTTGTAAGGATTTCAGGTGGAATAATAATTAAGATGAATGGATAAGAAAAGGGGAAGTGTCACCTTAGGGCAAAAATTGGCCATGTAGTCGTTTATTTATTATTTATCTTTGTGTAAATGGGGGCTGTCATTTCTTTCTCACAGTGCCTTATGTCACGATGCTCTGTAATTCTTTGGCATTTATGGAAAGGAAAAATAATATATTTTGGCACTAGCAAAGACAGAATAAGAACAGGAGTGACTTTTATTCCTGAAACTCATCCCCACTGAAAGATGGAAGAAGGCTTCAGGCTTTGCTTATCCCCCTTTTGCATGAACCTTTCCTTCCCATTCAGCCCAAGAATACGGTTCTCATAGTTTCATCCCTTATGCGAATTAGCAGGAACAGCAGCAGCTTGAGATGTGGCAGATAACGTGAATGCTATTTGGTAATTAGATAGATGATAGCGTAGTCTTCAGTTTTTTAGTCTGTTTTAATCCTGTTTTAATTAAATTGTTTTAAATGGTTTAAATGGTTTTATATTGTATTTTTAAAATATAATTTTATTGACTGTATCTGACATTGAAATCTGTTGACATATGTACATTAGAAACATTTCCATGAATAAGCTGGAAAAGATTATAATACTAGGCAACATTGTATGGAGCAGGAAAAGAGGATGACCAAATATGAGATGGATTGATTCAATAAAGGAAGCCACATCCTTGAGTTTGTGAGAGCTGAGGAGGGCTGTTAATGATAGGACATTTTGGAAGTCACTCATTTATAAGATTGCCATAAACCAGAAGCTACTTGATGGCATATAAAACAATGACAAATAAACAAATAATCATGTGTATACAAATTACTGAAAATGAAAGTTATACAATGCAGTCAGCATAAGGTGCTGGATTCCTGGTATCATCAGAAATATTACTTCTAGCTGTGCTAGAATAATACTCCAAAGTGTGTAATCCAAGATGAAATGCCACTTCTTGCCCCTTATAACTGCTTAGAGGCTTCTGCTATTCCTGTTGTTCCCATGCGGTCAATGGCTTCTTGTAACCTTGCCAAGTTCTTCCAGTAATCATGGCACTATACTCCAAAGTGTGTAATCCAAGATGAAATGCCACTTCTTGCTCCTTATAACTGCTTGGAGGCTTCTGCTATTCCTGTTGTTCCCAAGCGGTCAGTGGCTTCTTGTAACCTTGCCAAGTTTTTCCAGTAATCATGGCACTAGTTCTTTTTCTTTTTTTCTTTTTTGGTCTTCCTGGCAGGGCCATCATTCATAGGCAGTATATCGAACCTGCGCATGGTGCCCGTGGGAGTGGGTCGTGTCCGGCTATTATGGACTCCCATCCCTCGAGCTACAGCGTACAGAGTGGTGATTGTCAATATGCAAGGTAAGGATTGCTTTGTGCATGTGCGTGCATGCATGCATGTGCATACGTGTGTCCATGGTCATCTGAAGTTAAAGATTAGACTTGTTCAGTGAAATGCGGTGCTCCTTTTTGAATTGGTTCCTTATTTATTTAGGAATATTCATAAACTACATAAATCCAAATATTTTTAAATGGCTTACAACAGTCTTATACCATACAATAGACACAATGTAAAAGGATACATTGAATCAGTAATGCACAATTCCTACATTGTCCATATAAAAATAATTACATACTAGGCTGAACTGGGATGGTTTCTGAAGGTAGGTGTATCTTCAAAATGTGCCTTAAAATAAAAGCTATTGGAGCATGTCTGGAATCCGAAAGAAGAGTATTTCATATAATGTGTGCCATCACATAAAATGCTATTCTCTGAATGATCTCAGGAGCCTGTGGCACCATCAGGATGGCCTACCCAGATAATCTGGTCTCAAAGACTGAATAGGCCTGTAAGGGAAAAAGGAAGATAACCAGGTCCCAGGCTGGTCAGGGTTTGAAGATTCAGCAACAGATCCTTAAAATTGGTTCAGTGAAGCCAGAGGCTGACAGTTCAATCCCTCACTATTCCTCCTGTAAGTAGAGCCAGCCTGTGTGGCCTTGGGCAAGCTGCACAGGCTCAGAGTGCCACCAGAAGAAGGGAATGGTAAACCACTTCTGAGTATGCTGTACCTGGAAGGCCCTGGAAAGGTTCTCCATAAGTTAGAAGTGACTTGGCAGCACACGATTATTGTTATTTTTTACAGTTCTTTCAGCAAGAGTGTTGTGTGCTGCTGGAAGGCTTCTCCTCTCACTAACCCAGCAATTCTGTAACAGCTGCAGCTTCTGGACTGGACTTTGGGACAGCTCTACATAAGGATATTCTCAGAGTCCTACCTGAGTTTATTGCTATATGGACCACTGTGACCAAACTATTCTATTTGTGATCTCTGTCTTTATGAACATGGTTGAAAATGGAGAGGGACCTAGAGGAGAATAAGCTTGGGATAGACGTGGAAGTTCTAATCTTTTGAAAGCCGGACAACCGTCTAATGGAAACGGTTAAGCAATACAGGGCACGTGGGGTATACCTAAGAGTGCTTGAACAAGGGTTCCGGGAGAATAATTATGTCACCTTGTCTGGAGAGACAGAGATGCTTTGTTCAGAGTTAAGGACTGAATCAAGTGAGCCAAACTGCACGAGTATGATCTAATTTCTCTGTACTCTTTCTTCAGATGGTTCTGAGGAGGTCAGACGGATCCCTGGTGAGCAGAGTTTCTTGGAGCTGCAGGACCTGAAGGATAGTGTCACATACTCAGTGCAAATAACAACACTCTCAGGCACCCAGGAGAGCATTCCTGCCACCCTTACTTTCCAAGTGGGTAGGTTCTGACTCGGGGGGGGGGGCGAGCCTGTTTCATCCTCCTCAGTGGCTCAGGTCTAACTTGCAGACAGCTGTGTCCCTGAGATTTTTTTACCTCTTTAGCTCTGCAAGGACTTCATGACTGGTAAAGGACTGGCAGTGTATACCTTGTTTCTCTCAGTAAGGTTTCAACATTGCTCTAGCAATCCAACATGATGCTTCTTACAAATCTGTTTATAAGTGACAGCTTTTTAGTAGTACAGTCGTGCATCCCCACTCATGACTTTATAGACTACCATGTTATTACAAGGTATTCTTTGGCATTTCTTTCTTTGTGCCTACATGGAGAGCTCCAAGATGAGAAAAGTAAATAAGCGTTAATAGGTAACTGCAAATTAGTCAGTGTCACTCAGCTTCAACTCCTCCATCAACAGTGTCATGATCATAATGCCACCTCCCTAGCTAATAGAGCCTTTATGGAGATTTCAGAATTAATAGACTTTAGAGAATAAACTTTAGTTTCCCAACAGCTATACAAATTTCCAGTGGTTTGTGATGCTGCTGCTTTCTGTGTTTATACAGTACTGTATCTGTTTTTACAAGTCACGCCCTTGATTTCACCCTTGACCTTGTAGAATACCCATCTGTGGGCAGCATCAGCAACCTAGAGGCAGCTGCAGTTGGGCCCAATCAGTTGCGAGTGACATGGAGTCCAGTTGTTGGGGCAACCGGCTATAAGGTGACATGGCGACCAAGAGATGGTGAGTTTTTTTCTGTGAATAAAAAATAATATATGCTAATTTTGCAATTTCACATACTTGGAACTTGGTTTTTCATTACTTTCAAGGATGAGAGATGTAAAATTTCTTTTAAAATCCATTTCATCCAGGAAAAAAAACAGTTGTTCCCTGTTTTTTTCTGGAAACAACAGAAATTTTCAGAAATTTTACATCTCTATACTAGAGTACTAATGGGAAAAATGATATTAGAACCAGGAAAATGAAACTGTATGGGTTTCAGGGGTCTGGATGTAATAGTAGGCAGTCACCTGGAGATTTGTTTTGTTAAAGTGTCTGTAAAATGGCTTGGAAATCTTGTTAAGCTGAAATGAATTGGAGTATCCATAGCAGATCAGACTAGCCTTTTGAGCTTCATGCTCAATCCCATGCTACTTTCTGAAGTTCAGGTTGTGGCAGTGACAAGGTTGTTTTCATTAGATTCATCGGCTTACACCTGGTGATAACGCTGGTGGTTGTCATTCACTTAGTTATAACCTTGAACTGCATTTTCTGTAATACTTTGTCCATGGATATTTCTGTACAAGGTAGCTAAGGCTTTTAGCCCATGAGGAATTGGGCATTTTCCTTCAGGTAGGCTGTACTGAAATGGGGTAGAACAGTGGTTCCCAACCTTGGATAGTCCAGGTGTTCTTGGAGTGCAATTCCTGGAAACGCCAGCCAGCACAGCCAGTAGAGAAGGCTTCTGGGAATTGTAGTCCAAGAACATTTGGGTTACCCAAGGTTGGGAACCACTTGAGTAGAAATCTATCTATCTATCTATCTATCTATCTATCTATCTATCTAGCGGTCGGTCGGTCGGACGGTCGGACGGTCTGTCTAACCTCACATTTCTCTTTTAAAAGGACCAAAGGTGGCTTATATCATTACAAAGACAATATTTAAAATAAAAAAGCAGTGATTATACAAATATTTTAAAAGAATTAAATATTATATTAAAAATGGTAAATAAAATCAGCACCAAAAAGACATTTTTGCAGCAAGGCACAACCATGGGTTATCTTTTTAAAATAGCCAAATTAATTTAGGAAAAAAGTCAATGGAGTCCACATGTTGGGCAGTATGCCATCTTCTGTGCACTGGGTGGGTGGACTCCCTCTCTTTGTTCCGGTTGTTGTGTTGCCACGACTGGAGGATTTCTTTGTACACAGAAAATGCTACATATGGTTGGTAGGAAGGCAGAGCTTGCAAACAATCTACTGTCCTTTCTAGCTCAAAGCTCCTGAGGCAGCTGGGTGGCATCTCTGAGCACAAACCTTTTCTAGGCATGGAACTGAAAATGTATCTTAGGAAATGAAAATAAAGCATTGAAGGCTGTCTCTGGACTTCCAAGGCAAAGCACATTAAAGCAAGGAGGATGATTTTCTAAAATTATAATTAAATTGTATTTATAAGATGGAAACTACAGAAAGCATGCAAATGATTACTCCATTAAAACCTTTCACAATATCTAGATCGTGTATAAATTTGTAGTCCATGCTGCAAAATTATTGTGAAATAACCTCACCAAATTTTTACATCCCAGCCTGGTGTCCTTCAGCTATCTTTGACCACAACCCCCATCATTCCCAGCTTGTGAGATGGGATTTGCAGTTGAACATCTGGAAGGTACAGGCTGGGAAAGGCTCATCTAAAACAGACCACTTCACTCTCCTCCTAGAGAAGGCCAAGTCATCTTCACCTTGAAACTCACAATGTAGATCTCCCTTTTGTGCCAGATAGGACATACATTGCAAACCGTCTGCTTTTGTAGCATAATTGAGATTTTCCCTGGAATCACCAGGGTAGCAGAGGATCTGGGAAATAGATTTAAGTAGTTCTTCTTTTCCACTCAGAGAAGCTCTGATCATAGAAGTTAAGATTATGCAAAGCTTCATATGCTTTATCATCCCTGTCAATACTGGTTAAATTAGGAAATGTTTAGACAAATATTGTTAAAAATGCAAAGCAATTTCAATTAGTATGGTTTAATAGATGTTTGATATGAACTAATTATAGGTTGATTGGGATGATGGTAGGTTGTTTGGACTTTCTGTTCCCATCAGTTTTCTAAATATTCACTTATTCACAGTGGTAAGCATCATATGGTAGCTGAAGTGGAATTTGGATTGATTACCTACAGTATGTCCTTGATAGGGGCTGGACTCGATCCATAAGGTCCCTTCCTGCTCTTCAATTCTAAGACGATGATGATGAAATCTAGTAGTAAGTTGCGAGTATAGTAGGCCCTTGGGGATCTGGTGAGTCAGTCCCTGTGTAAATTCCATTGGTTCTGATTACAATTTAGGACTGGATTTCAGCTGCTGTTTTCCACATCCTGTCTTCTGAAGTTGATAACAGTTCTCATTTCCTAAATATAGCTAATAACATCCATGGAACAGTAAACAAATAACCAGCTGAGCACCTACATGTTATGTCTGCTAATGATTTGACTCACAATACATGGCTGAGTCTGCCAGAAGGATGATTCATCTGCTTCTCACCAAAGGAAAGTTTGGGTCAGGAGGAAAGTAGATGTCTTCCTGTGAATGGGGCATGCAGTGTACTCGCATCACCACCCACATGTACACATAAACGTGTTGTTCACTTGCCCACCCATCTCCCTCTTGCCCCATGCATTCCTTTGAACAACAGCATATCTTCTCCCATCACCCACGCCGTCATGGACATTATAAGGTTGCTGTTATAAAAATCTGTGTCTTGGAGGGATGCCATGATTTCCATATCCTGTCTTCCACACAGCGACTTGCTAATATTCCTTAAATGTAGTCTGTCGATTGGAGATGTTTAGGCCACATATTTGTATACACAGTTTACACTGGTCACTCCAGACTGGGAGAGATACTGTAGATATGTTTCTATTTGTGCTTTTGATTTGTGCTCCTTCCAACTCAGAATATTTGTCCCTTACTCCCCAGGTCAAGAGATCTCTCAACTCCTGCCTGCAGATATAAACTCCTACATTATTGAGGGCCTGAGACCTGGGGTTGTCTATATCATTGGGGTTTCAGCCCTGGTTGGCAGCCAAGAAGGGAGTCCAGTTACCACCACAGCTACAACAGGTGAGATTAGCTCTGGACTCTGCCCACTGTAGCTCCGTCTTGGCGGCACCATTGTTGACAGTGCCTTTCTGCTCTTTGTATTGTAGCCTCAGCTCAAGTGGGAATGGTCACCAGACTCAGAGTGCTTGAGTCCAGAAGCAATGTGGTGCGAGTCTCATGGGTTGGTGTGCCAAGCGCTACAGCATACAGAATCGTGTGGAGCCTCCGTGACGGTAAAGTTGTTGCTCTAGTTTAGCAGTGGTTACATTTCCATGAATTCTGTAAAAGTTTTGCTGCTGGAAATCCCTTATTGCTTCTGTTTGGGAATGCAGTTGGCTAAGCGTTGACATGATTATTGTTATTATTCTAAAGCACTAGTTCTTACAATTTTCGATGAAAGTTGTTTCTTGTGGAGATTCTGCTGGAAATAATGAGGGTACTTTGATTTCTGTTGTGAAGGCCCACTCTCAGAGCGATGTCTGACCACTGAGGCTACATTCCAGCTTCCACGATGGATATTTTATGCATCAGAATTCTGAGATTAGAGAAAGGGAAAAGCCAACATGGTGGGATTCAGGGAGATTCCAGGAGGAGAAGACATACCTATAAAGGATATACATTCCTGTTGGCTTCTAGATAGGATTGCAAGCTGGCTGCTGATCGACACCAGTCCTAGATCTAGTGTAGGTCATCTTTCCCCATTCAGTTCTGAATAATAATAAAACCAGAGAAGAACGTGCTGGCCCAGATCCTACCCACATAAGCCAAACAGCATGCTGTGGCAAATTATTGCTGGTGAAGAAGTCAGCACATGAATTTCTCATTGTCTGCCAGGTCATACATCTGGTGTGTAATAAGATATGCAAGTCTCGACTTCCTTGTCATGTGTATTCGTAATTAGTGGGAACTTGCTGCAGTGATTTACACTGTTTGACTTACTGGCAAGCATAAGTGATAGGATCGTGGCCATTAAAAAATAACCCCAGGGAAGGGAGCAAAAATGATTACCATTGTCCTTCTTGGGCTACTTGGAATCTCTTGTTCTCATCTAAAAAGCGGGAAAGTATGAGCTGAAATTAATTTGGGATCTAAGGCAGGATAATTTTCTTTAATTCTTATTTTGTAATGAAATTATTATTTATACCTTTCTAGTCTGAATTACTTCACTCATATTGATTATGAAGGCTATTGAATTTAGAAGTTTTAGAGCACGGAGGACCAAATTCTATCATTTGTTTGTTGTTTTATTAAGGAGACTGCAAATTTAAGCTGATTTAGTAAAAGAAACTGTCAAAGCCAAATTTCAAAACTAAAAGGTTTAGACAGGTAAAAAAAGTACAGTTTAGACTCTGAATTTTCTTTTCCAAGGTTTAAACTTGTGGAAAATCCTATTTTAGTTCTAATAAAAACCACCACGGACCAGTCATAAACATTGGAAAGTTGGCGCATCTTGATGCTATTATTGGATATCACCAGACTAATATTTGTTTCGTTCATGCTGCTGTATAGCACAGAAGATATTTTAGTATTAGCCATATATTGGTGCTACATGTTAGTATGATCAGAAGATATAACTGACTTTATGCCTGGAATCGTCTAGCGTTGGTTTTTACAACTGAAAAAGTGACGTTATCTTCTTTTGAAGGTGGACCGGAAAACAGCAGATTGGTTTCAGGAAACACCAATTCTTTTGACATCCTTAACCTAGAAGGAGGAGCCAGTTACACAGTGAGGGTCACAGCACTGATTGGCAACCGTGAAGGAGACCCTGTGTCCATCACTGTCACCACACGTAAGGCTTACTTTTGTCTGTGTCTGATGTTTATACTCCATTTTCATTTCAGAGAGCCCTGAGTGGCATTTTAACCTCAGTGTGTGATGTAGAATGGGCTGAGATATGGTGCTATCATTGCAGAAACATTTCTGGGAGCAGGTGGACTGTGGATGAAGTGTGGCAAGACAGCTTTTGCCTTTTTTCAAGTGTTAATCTGCAGAAAGTGTAAATGGCAGTTCCTAAACTTTTGCCTCAGCAAATTTCATACTTCTCATCCAAACTGAAAGAAATTGTTCCCTCTAGTCTCCTGTCTGGCGGTAATGAGATTTCCTGTGTTCTCTTCCTTTCCTAATCCTCCCATGTTTTCTCTTAGCAATGGTTCCTGCTCAACCAGTTGGGAATCTGCGTGTGACTGACTCCTCGGAAAAGCGTATCCGACTAGAATGGAGCCCAGCACCTGGTAGCACTGGCTATCGGCTCACCTGGCGGCCAGCAGGAGGTGAGCACCTCTCACACCTTCTTGCCTTTCCCTGTGTCCCACACAAATGGCATTAATGGTCTCTTCCACATGGCACAGGTGGACCAGAAAGTAGCCGACTGCTGCCACCCAACATCAACACCTATGACATTGAGGACCTGCAGCCAGGAGGGAGATATGAAATCCGTATCACAAGCCTTATCGGCAACCAGGAGAGTGAGGCCGTGGCTATTGTGGCCAATACAGGTAAATCCAGTCCTATCCCCTGCTGAGTTGGCTCCAGTCACTCCAAACATAGAGCAACAGAAGGCGTCTGAACATCACCTGTTCATGCAACTTTGACTGGGGCCAAAATTTTGGTCATCAGCACCACTTGATAGCTGCATCAGGCTAAGACAGGAACAACAACAACAACAACAACAACAACAACAACAACAACAACAACAACAACAACAACAACAACGATGACGATGACGACGACGACGACGACTCCTCCAACATAACACACCAGACATAGCAGTAATAGAACAAAGTAATGCCTGAATCATTGACATTGCAGTTCTGGGGGATGGCAGAGTTGAACATAAAGAACTGGAAAAATTCACAAAATACAGGGACCTGGCAAATGAAACATTTTGCTTGTGGATGAAACACACTTCAGTGCTCCCTGTAGTCATTGGGGCTTTCGGAACAATATCAAGAAAGTTCACACAGTACTGTAAGCAGTTTTAGATCTCAGAAATAACACCATCAGAGCTACAAAAAACTGCTATACTAGGAACCTGAGTGCTCACTGGAAAGACAGATCCTGAAGCTGAAGGCTCCAGTACTTTGGCCATCTCATAAGAAGAGAAGACTCCTTGGAAAAGACCTTGATGTTAGGAAAGTCTGAAGGCAAGAGGAGAAGGGGACGACAGAGGACAAGATGGTTGGACAGTGTCATAGAAGCGACCAACATGAATTTGACCCAACTCCGGGAGGCAGTGGAAGACAGGAGGGCCTGGCGTGCTCTGGTCCATGGGGTCCTGAAGAGTCGGACACGACTAAACGACTAAACAACAACAACATACTGTGCTGATATTTGGCAGATACATAGGTTTTTGGTTAAAACTTGTATCAGTTACATAATACCAGGCAATGTTTCGGCTAAGACAGGAACAACAACAACAACAACAACAACAACAACAACAACAACAACAACAACAACAACAACAACAACGATGACGATGACGACGACGACGACGACTCCTCCAACATAACACACCAGACATAGTAGTAATAGAATGAAGTAATGCCACACCAGACATAGCAGTAATAGAACAAAGTAATGCCTGAATCATTGACATTGCAATTCTGGGGGATGCCAGAGTTGAACATAAAGAACTGGAGAAACTAACAAAATATGGAGACCTGGCAACTGAAATATCTGGCTTGCAGGTGAAACATACCTTAGTGGTCCCCATTGTCATTGGGGCTATGAGAACAATATCATTACATTTCACACAGTATTATAAGTAGTTGCAGACCATCAGAGCTACAAAAACAGCACTATTAGGAACAGCATATATAATATGTTGATATTTAACAGATATTTAATTTTTGGTTAAAACCTGTATCTGTTATATAACACCAATCAATGTTTTTTATAATTTAGATTGGCTATTATAGGACTAAAAAGAAAACAGTATTTTTTAATAATAATAATATTCAGTGGGCTAGGGCCTGAATTAGGGCCCCTGTGGACTACATGCAACCTACAGTTCATGCTTTGCCCAATCTTGTGTTATACTGAAATATTTATTTTTGGCTTCTAATCTTTCAACATGAATTTGACCCAACTCCGGGAGGCAGTGGAAGACAGGAGGGCCTGGCGTGCTCTGGTTCATGGGGTCATGAAGAGTTGGACACAACTAAACGACTAAACAACAACATTGTAGTGTAGGCATCCTTCAGTCTCGACAACAACATACTGTGCCGATATTTGATAGATACATAGGTTTTTGGTTAAAACTTGTATCAGTTACATAATACCAGTTTTGATTGACTCTGCCTGGTGTTTTTTAATTTAATAATAATAATAGTTCCACAGAGACAGTCACTGCTAAACACAGTGTGAATATTTAGTGAAGATATCTAAATGAATTTTTATTGGGTCAGTGACTGCAAAATAAATACTACTACTACTTTAGAAGGCAATCAAATGTGACCTAACATAAGTTTGTCACATGCTTTCAAAGGCTTGCAAGTGTCAGGTTTGAATTTATCATGGGCAGCATGTTCTCATGATAAATGCAACAGGAGGGCTACATTGCCCACAGTGAACTACACAGGATTGACAGAGATGATGACTAAACTCTGCTACAATTCCAGATGCCAGCTCTGCCCGTACATTTATTCTGGTCACATGATTACAGGACCTAACAATGTCACACACAACATCAAGGGTACTAATTATATTTTCATCACTTGGAATATTAGAAGCATATAATATCCTGCACACAAAGGTTAAAGAAATGACAGAAAGGAAATATATCAAAAGACTGCAGAAAATCTTAAAATCAAAATTAAATGGTGGAAATACAACCAAAGCCATAAACACATGGTCAGTTCCAGTAATTAGATCCATCTGGAATAATAACTGGACTCAAAAAGAACTAGAAGAATTGGATTGAAAAACATGGAAACTAATGAACATTCATCACATACTATATCCAGAAAGGGATGTGGAGAGATTATATTTACCACAAAAAATCAGAGGCTGTGGATTACTGCAAATACAGGAGGTAGTAGAGGAAGAAAAAAGAAGCCTAAGTGATTATATCAGTACATGTAGAGAAACATTACAGTACTTAAGGCAGTGAAGATAGAAAATATTTTGAAAGCAAGAGAAACAAAGGCTCAATATAAGAAACAACAATTTGAAAATAAATTAAACAGCTGGAAACCGCTACATGGACAGCACCAGAGAAATATTGATGGAATGCATGATAATAATTTAGCATTGACATGGCTAAAAATAGGGAAGGCTTAACTTTTGCTGTACAAGATCTTTAAAAGTGGTGATATTTAAAAATCACTACCAAGTGATGAAAATTATATGATATTATCTGCTTCTAATATTCCAATTATATTTTCATCACTTGGAATATTAGAAGCAGATAATATCCTGCACACAAATGTTAAAGAAATTAACAAAATACAGAGACCTAGCAATAGAAATAACTCACTTGTGGATGAAACACATTTCAGTGGTCCCCATATTCTTTATTACTACCGTGAAATTTTATAAAATATTATAATCAGTTGCAGTTCTCTAACACCAAAACAGCAACATTAGGAACAGCATACATATTGCACCAATATTTAACTGATAATTAGATTTTTTGGTTAAGATTTGTATCTGTTTTGTAACAGCAATCAAATACTATGTTTTGAATTTTTTGTTATTTAAAAATCAAAACAGGAAGTGACTAAACAAATAGTCCTAGTTTTAATTTTTAGGCTGCAGGGAGGTTCTGGGTTTGGGGTGGGCTACAGCCCACCCATGCAAAAACCACTACTCTTGGATTGCTCCAAAACAGAAAAACCCCATCTCATCCACTTTACATGTATGTTTATATGTATCTAAACAACCTTAACAGGTGCATGTGGACCATGAATTTCTCTTGGGCTTTCTCTGATGCAAAAAATATATATTTCAGTTTACAAATGGGAGGCAGTCAGGCATAAAGCAAAGCTATCTGTCTTTTAGTGTTGCCATTAAATGGCCTGCAGAACTAAGAACAATCAAATCTATCAATATACTTTTTATCAATACTGTATACTTTTGCTTAGTTTGCCAGATTTCTAAAATTAACTTTGTTTTATTTTTATATGAATTTTGTTTTTTAAAGACAGTACAAAAATGCATAATGTTTTGTGCTCAGTTGCCACCTTGGATCCTTCTTGAGGAGAAGGGTGGGATAAAAACAAACAAACAAAAATAAAGTATAAACATTGTTGTACTGTATTATATTTTTAAATGTACTGTATGCATATTCTCTTCACCCAAGTATATAGTGATTGTGTGTGTGTGTTTTTAATGGATGGACCTGATTCCAACTTTCAAAACAGCTAAGTTTGCATCAAAATGTGAATTGAGCCCAAATCGGGTGTTTCTCTGTAGCTGCCTTAGGTTAAATTCTGCTTAGACAAAGGGCGCCATCTTCTGGTGAGAGCTCCAAATGGCATTTCCCGAGAGCTAAAAACCATGATTTGGCCTTATCTTTCTTGGATGTGTACTGTATATACTTCTAAAGGAGTAAATTAGGGGAGTTATAATGTTACCTTATACTTGAGGGTAAGGTGTTTTGTGTGATGTCTTCTTGCTATTTTTTTCCCACTTGCTGTTTTCAAGTTCAGATGCAAATGTTATTTTCATATCTATAGCACATCTGTGTTTGGATATCATTACCGGTCTTTGATATTTTCGTATTGCCTTTCCACAGTATAGTGTTCAGCTTTTAAATTATGCCTGTCAAACTGGTAGCAGTGAATCTGTTGCTATTCTTCTTGCCCACACCATCTTTTTGGAAGACATTCTGTCATTTGTACACAGTAGTTACAACTTCTGGTAATAACTCGTATAGTGTCTGTGCTTGTGACTACTTCCCAGAGGGAAGGATGTATCACTAGTGCTCTAACCGCCATCAGTGGTCATGAATATCCCTCCCAGATACATCTCAAGGTAGAGGCAATGTTTGCCCTTCCTCCTCAATGGGCCAAAACATCTGTCTCCCTTTTCCCTCTCCTTTTGTAGCAGCTGCAGGCCGTGTGACCAGTTTCCGGATTTCGGAGACAAAACGGGATTCTGTGACTTTGACCTGGAATCCCGTTCCTGGAGTCTCTGGCTATGTCCTCGCTTGGAAGTCTCCCAGAGGTAAGAGCCAAAAGGATTCGAGCTGCGGCAATGAGGCTTTGGGAGAAGGAAATGCCCGTGGTGTGTTCTAGTCTCATCCCATCCACTTCTTGTGCAGCTGGGTAGGGAGAGGCAGCCCTGCAGCTGGGAACCATCGGATCTCGTTTTCTTTGTTGATTCACTTTGTGCCTGTCTTGCTTTTTCTCTGTGGAGATCAGTTCCCCACTACCATCAGCAGCATCTTATCCTCACAATAGATTATAGGATAGCTTAGGCTTGTGCAAAGTCTCCCAAGGAGCTTATGCCTGAGGGGGGATTGGAATCATCGACCTAGTCCAGTCCAGTCCCCTGAACCATTTCACTCTCTCAGCTCCCAGGCAACCTTACTATTAATGGAAGATGATTGCTTCTTTTGCTATTGTAATTTGCCCCATGTAGTTTGACCTTAGCTGTGGTCCACAGGTTAAATTACTATGGCTTAAGTGGGTCACCCGCTCAAGACTAATTGTGGGCTTTGTCCATGAAATTGCCTGTGCTGGTACCCCTTGGGTTCCTCTTATGTTTCAGATGGTGAAGGGACACAGAGAACATTGCCTGGATCAGCAACGTCCTATCAAGTATCTGGCCTGCGCCTGGGTGAGAGATACACCTTCACTATCCAGCCACGGTTTGGGAGCATCACAGGTGCTGAAGCTTCTGTTACTGAGCAAATAGGTAAGGCTTTGCTTTCAGAAAAGAAGGATGAAGCCTCTTTTCTGTAGTGCTCAGGGTCTGTATCTATCCTCTTTTATATCAACTGTCTCAGACATGGCATGTGTAGCATAAAGGGACTGGACCTATGTTTTTCTTCTTGGTCTTTTTAAAATTTTGTATGGAAATGGTATGAGACCAGCTTGTTAATTCAGTTTTGCTGAGGTGGTTTCTATTGGGCCTTGGCCTACTGCAGGGGAAGGTGTGTTCCAGAGGATGGTCAGTTCTGGTTTTGGAAAAAGATCCTAACAACCTAAGTAAGGTGCATGGCAGATGGGATGGCCTGAAGTCTCCAGTAGTACGTCAAGAGGCTGTGATTGCCCATTCGGGGGGGGGGATGGGTGCCAGGGAATTGGAGGGTGCTGGGGGAGGGGGTTGAAGTGGGTGTTTTCGCATGTGGCCCACCCACGTTTTTTTCCCCATCCTCTATTCTGTGCTCCATTTCAAAACAATTTGTACAGAAGATAGGAAAGGACCACACATGAGGGCAGAATTTCTCATCTGTTCTCCTTCTGTCTTTCAAGATGGCATGAAAGGAAGGTGTCTTGTTTTGTGTTCCTTGGTCCCAAGTGGCTCCTACCCACACCCACACCTCACATTCACTGTGGACCTTTCCCCCCTACAGTCTGCCAAGACGGACGCAGTGACATCGTTTTTCTTGTACATGCCACTCGAGACAATGCCTACAACGCAGAGGCTGTGCGTAGCTTCCTCTCCAGCACTGTATCTGCACTGGGCCAACTCGGCCCTCGTGACACCCAGGTAACTGACAACATCGTGGTTTTACCCTGATGCACTTGTACACTCTCTCTCTCTCTCTCTCTCTCTGTGTCCACTTGAAAAAGATCTCCCCTGAAGCTGGTTCATGCCATGGACCATTAGGATGGAGTGTCACTCATTTTAGTCCTCACAATTTTGTACTACTAGCAAAAAATGTAGTAAGATGGAAACAGCTGAAATCGCAGAAGAACCTGCTAACAAGAACACCCCTATTGCATAGCTGTGTGTCAGGCAGCCACAGTTTTGCTGCCTGTGCTGGTGGTTGCCCCATAACTGAGTTGCTCTCGGCTTACCAGGACAAAATCTTGGCCCGTACGTCTCTCTCTCTCTCTTGCCTTGGCTGCCCTCTTGTCTCAGCTCTTTCCTGCAGCTCAGTGGTAGAGGTCATGCCTCTCTCCCTCCATCCCCAGGTGGGCATTGTGATTTACAGCTACAGAAGCCTCCCTTTGCTCCTGCTCAACCGCTCGAGTGACCTGGCCAATGTCCTGCAGACCATCCGCTCACTGCGCTTTGAAGAACCAAGTGGCAATGCCATGGGTAAGGAAGAAGCGAGCAAGGGCAGGTCAGTTTGGGAGGCCCTGGGGCTTGTCTGTCAGAGGCTGCCTTGAGGAGGGAGCATGGGTCCCGGGGCGCCTGGGTAGAGACACTGCCTTGAGGCCTACAGGTAGAGATAGTGAACTCCAGGACACAAGAGCTGCTGCCACTGATCATTTCTCTTTTGTGTGCATCTGTTCCCCTGGGTGTGCCTCTGCTTTTTGTTTTGTGCTGTCCAGGAATTGCCATTAATTTCGCCAGGAACTACATGCTGAATCCTAGTGCAGGGCGCAGAGCGGGTGTGCCAGGAACCGTAGTAATACTGGCAGACGGGTCATCTGCCGATGATGCCATTGGGCCTGCAAGGGAGCTTAAAGCGACAGGTAAGACGTGAGTCATGGAGAGAGGGAAACATGGAAAGACAGAGAAGAGGACTTGCTGTTGTGGTTTGAAACAGATTGTTGTCAGCTGTTGTAGAGCTCTGTCCTAACGTGCTATTTGGTGGACTTCTATAAAATGCCTCTCCTTCTATTGGGAAGCATTAAAGCAACAAACGGAGGGCAAAGAAGAACCTTTACATGTGTGGCTACACCTTTAGTGGCTTCCACGTCCTTAATCAGATCATAAACAATTGAAGTATCCGCCATTCAGCTTTATTGAAGGAATTTGGGGTGGAGGGCAGCTAATTGGCTTACAGATGTTTTTCTTTATAGTGTCAGGGCCAGAATTTGGAATGGATACCTGTTTCAGCTATAGATACCAGAATCCTTTGCGTAGTTTGAGCAACCTTGGCTAAAATGTCCCTTTGGAAGAGGGAGCAGAGCTGGCGGTATCCTGAGTCTCTTCTGTGAACTGTTACATGATATGGGCAAGAGGTATGGCACGGGGCCCCTCCACTGGCTTGCCTTATCTTTTCTCTTGCAGGGGTAGAAGTGCTGGCTGTGGGCATGGATGGAGCCAACCGTGAGCAGCTACGCCGCCTGGTAACCAATGAAGACCCAAGCAATGTTTTCTTTGTGAGAGCGGCCAGCAGTTTGCCAGAGGTGGAAGAGGGGCTTTCCAGTGCCCTTTGCAGGGCACCCATCCCAGTAGAGGTAAGGGATTACTTATGGAGCACACAAAAGAATAACCTAATGCTGGTTGAATGGAGGAGGGAAAGGAATGGGACCATTTCTGTGGAAGAGACCTTGCTCCACCTATGTAGCCGAAATGGTCTTAAAACAATGTTTCTCAACCTTAGGTCCCCGGATGTTCTCAGACGATAACTCTGAGAAATGCTGCCCAGCACAGCTAGTACTGGAAGCTTCTGGTAGTTTTAGTCCAAGAACATCTGGGGACCCAAGGTCGGGGAAAACTGACTTAAAGGAATGATAGGACAACGGCTTCTGTAGTTTAGACCAGTGGTTCCTAACCTTGGTTAACCCAGGTGTTCTTGGACTGCAATTCCCAGAAGCCTTCACCACTAGCTGTGCTGGCTGGGGTTTCCAGGAGCTGCAGTACAAGAACACCTGGGTTACCCAAAGTTGGGAACCACTGGCATTGTCTGTGTCCTGAATTTATCACACACAGAGGATGACAAGAAATGCTATGCTTCTAGTGGGAAATTCTAGCAGGAAGTGGGCACCTATGACCACTTGGAAGGGCAGTACTTTGTTACATCCAGTGAAGCAGGGAAGAGAACTGTGCCACTTTTCTGCACTTTGAGACTTCTCATCAGGTGCACACCAGGCCTCAAATGTTCATCACCTCTTGGTAGGACGTAATAAGCAAGTAGCTTAGCCAGTGGTTACATGAATACTGTGGCAAATTACCACTTGGTACTTGGCGGTAAACCCCAAGGTCTACGATGTGTCAGGCTTGCATAGCAGCGTTATAGCTGTTCTAACAAGACCTTTATAGCTCTGATTCTTTTTCTCTCTCTCCATTTGTTAGCCTGGACCAGAGTGTACTGTGCAGTGTCCCAAGGTAAGTTACTGACAGCAACCCTGCTGCAGGACAGCTATTGCTTCAGGTAGATGAGAGAAGGCTGAGTAGGTGGGCCAGGGACCAAGAAATGCTTCCAAAGCCATAGCAGAAAGAGTGGCAGATTAGACCAGTCTTGCCGTTCAGATATACTGAACTACAGCTTCCACCATGGGCCATTCTGAATAGGGGTGGAAAGAATGATAGTCCAACAAATCCGAGAGAGTGACTACAGAGGCATTCGTTCTCCTGCTGAGTCTGCTCTTTAGCAGGGCTTTAAAAAAACTTTTCAAAGCATCACTGATATGTTAGCAACACTTGTAAAGAAATGCAAAACTTCCCCTCTTCCCTACTAGAGTGGAAGATTTCCATTTCTCAAGTTAATCAGCTTCTCTAAAGGGTCAGCCAGACAACTGCAAAGAAATGCAAAACTTCCCCTCTTCCCTATCAGAGTGGAAGATTTCCATTTCTCAAGATAGTTAATCAGCTTCTCTAAAGGGTCAGCCAGACAACTGCTTAATGATCTTGAGAAATCTTTCCCTTTAAAGGGAAATAATCTTTCTTTTCAAAGGGAAAAAAGATCTTGATCATGCTAAAAAGGGTTGCGTGAGGTGCAATGTGGTTTCCTGACCCAGAACCATCCGGGCCTTGCTTGTGAATGCAAGGATCGCATCATGTATTTCTATACAATCTTAAGCGACTCTATTTAGCCTGATCCAATTTTACTATCTAGCCAAACCCTCAGTGGCAATATGTGGATGTTGGGGAAGGATGGAATTATGAGAGAAAATGCACATGCTTATCAAGGCTGCTCCCAACATTACTTTTCCCTACTCCAAACATCTGAACATGGCTAGAAAATAGCTGTTGGGGATGTATGTTTTTGTGATATGGGAGTGGCAGATAAAAATCAGGTAAGTCTGATTAAGTGAGAGAGTTGCTGGGAGCATGACCAGGCTTGCAATTTAGATTCACATATTAGATACTCAGAATGTGGGCACTGGAGAGGCTCATGTAGCAGCCCTTCCCTATTGAAAGAATGTGCAAGAGGTTCGGGGGTTTCACAAGCTACTTCTACAAGCCCAGACCTCAACCCATCATCTTTGGCTTCACTTGGTGTGGAAAAGGATTCTCAATATTCATGCATGCATACATCCTCCCTGTTGGAGGAACTGCCACAATAAAGGTTACTGTGTCATGGAAAAGCAATACACACAGCAGTCAGTAGTCTGTAGACCATTTACTTGTGCTAGCCAAATGGGTGGGTTGTTGGCTTTTCCCTATGGACTTTGGTGGCATGAGCATGATTCAGGGCACATCAGCTGTGGGATAAGGTCAGGACTAACCTGCACGCCCCTTTGTGTAATCTTCCAATATTTGGAAGGAAGGAGTTCTGTTCATCTTAATTATTTAAGAACCACTGAGAAAGAGGAGGAGAGTTATAAGAGAATTGATTCTGGTATGGTCTGCTTCCTCATGTTTGATAAGAGCTCTGAAATCTATACAGGTTGAGCCAACATGGAGAAGTTGGCTGCATTTCCCTTGGCAAAGAAAAATTTGATGAAGGTCAGCAGGCTGTCTGTCAGATTCCTAGAGGACAAGACAAACAGGGAAGGGAAGGGCCTTGGGAAACAAAGAAAGGTGTTTTTTCTGTATTCGCTCAGCATCGTCTTTCCCAGTAGTTATGGGCCAGTCCCAAAGCTGACCTTTAACAAGTTAGGAAGGCATTTTAATAATGAAAGTCCCAAACTTAAACAATTATACTTGAAGTCGCTCTAGCTATTTTTGAATCAGGCTATCAACATACTGTCCTTCTCTTCCTCTATAGGGTGAGAAAGGAGAACCTGGTGAGATTGTGAGTATTTTAAACATGGAGAGGACTGAGCTCCTCGTCTGGAGTTCCTTTGAGGGCTGGAACACATGATTACTTGGGGAACAGGTATTAATTTCTCTGGTCATTTCTGCAGGGACAGAGAGGACGCATAGGACCTCCTGGCCCTCCTGGAGATCCGGTAATGTTGGCTGTTCTTTATGAATCCCTGAAGTGTATGATTTGCTACAGAATTGATCCTTCTCATTAGAACCCCATTATTTTGACTAAATCCTTTTTTGATGTTTTAGATCCTCTGATGACACCATCTCTTTTCTTAAACAAATTATTGATTCTACCCCCAGAAGTACTTTTTCATGACTAGGCACTTTGTAAATTTAAAATTAACTCTGTCATTTATTAGCTTCGGTAGTCTTCGCTGGTTCACGGTTCTCCCCAGATACCGTATTGTTCGCACCATAAGACGCACTTTTCCCCCACAAAACAGGGGGTGGTGGAATGTCTGTGCGTCTTATGGAGCGAAGAAAACAGATTATATTTTCGTTTTCTTCTCCTAAAAATTGGTGCGTCTTATGGAAAGGTGCATCTTATGGAGCGAAAAATACAGTAATTTGCCTTTCATAGCCATCTTAAAAACTATTTATTTATTTATTTATTTATTTATTTATTTATTTATTTATTTATTTATTTATTTATTTATTTGATTTATATCCCTCCTATCTGGACGACTGGACCACTCTAGGCGGCTAGCAGAGGCAATCTTTTCCCTGGATGGTCAAGTGATGGCCAAGTGATGCTATTTTCTGTAGGAATGTGTGAATGAATATCCATACATCTAGTATGATCACAGCGCCAGCCCAACAATACCTCTGTAATATGTGAAGCTGCTGTAGACATGACCAGTTGAATGTTATTGGCATGAAATATTCTCTAGCCACACCATTACCTTTCTCAAAAGCAAAAACTATTTGGATTTCCCATCATTTAGTTACTTTTGGGGTTGGCTGTATTATTTAAAAGAATAATAGTACTGCCTAAACTGGAACATTGGCCCTAGTTAATTTGCCAAAGACTCCAGGTTTTAAGTCAGAGGTGAGCAAAGTGCAGCCTGCAGGTTACATACAGTAGCCAGGAACCCACAGGTGCCCCCCTCGGCAACCATCTTTCCCCCACCAGCCCCCTACCCTGCCAAATTTAATTTTTAAAAAACACATTTTGCTCAACAAATCTTCTTGTCCTTTTGCCACGTTAGGGCCCCCAAACATCTTGTTTTTAATAAATAATGTATCTTGATTGTGTTAATCGTCTTCACGAATGCCCTTTTTGAGATATAAAAATGAATAAGTAAATAAAAATTGGCAAGTCTTCATAGTTCAACTATGCTTTTCAGAATCTGACTTTTTTCGTCATTCATTGAAAGTAGCTTATTCTTTTTATGTCGTGTCTTGTTTAGTTAGGGGTTGTTTAGGCATCAGAAAAGCCGAGAACTATGGTTTTCTGATGTTGCTTTTGCTGCTGGTCACTGCTGTATTATTTAATTGATTATAAGTGTTCTAGAATTATGTATGTATGTATGTATGTATGTATGTATGTATGTATGTATGTATGTATGTATGTATGTATGTATGTATGTATGTATGTATGTATGTATGTATTATGTATGTATGTATGTATGTATGTATGTATGTATGTATGTATGTATGTATGTATGTATGTATGTATTGTATGTATGTATGTATGTATGTATAGCCCACCCATCTAATCCTATACTCTGGGCGGGTAACAACATATCATGTAACAATTTAATAATTTAAAATCATAATAATTTATTACTAAATAAACAACGATCCAAGATGGGAGAAAACACAAGATAACAAAAATTCCAACGGTGGGTGGAGAGAAGGCTTGCTTAAAGGTTTTCAATAAGTATCAGTGGTCGTAGAAATAAAACTTAATCCCACTCTTCTTGCAGAACTCAATTAGCCTGAAGGAATGAATTTGATTTCCTGAGTTTTTAAAAATTTTATTTAAGGAAATAAACAAATCAACAAATAGTTTTTATTTAGTAAACAAATACATCATTTCCCCCCAAACTGAACAAACAAGTTTAAAAGTTAAAAAAACCCTTGCAGGTGTGGTTCCTTGAGCTGGTGGTCAGTCTCAAAAATGCTTTCATGATTGCATGGAAGAAGAAATTTCAGCTGGTGCCAGGCTAGACCCTCCAAAATTTCGTTTTTGAAATTGCTGTTAAAGCTAGAGGAGCCCTTTCCTCCATTTCAGGTGGCTGTCTGATTGCTACCTACCTGAGACAGGTGTGAGGATCAGGTTCCTGGGACCTGACTTGCAAGTCAATAAAGACTGAGCCCATTCCATGTTTGTAATGTAAATGAACAGTGCTCAGAAAGACACACAAAACAAAAGTAGAGCCAGTCCAGCCTAAACATTTTGAATTCCATAGACTGTACACCAGTGGTGAGTAATACAAAACCGTTTTGGTGGCCCTCAAGGCCATTCCAGAGCTCACCAAATAAACTCCCCTCCAAAGTTTTTGTCTAAAAAAGTTGCTATCATTTCTTTGCTCTGTGGAATACAGTTGAGAATGATACGAGTGTAAATGGATGTAAAAGTGATTTTGCTGTTAGGAGGAAAAGAAACTCTTCCTGCTACAAAGCAATAAAATAACACAAAATGTCTACTCCTTTTTTTCAGGGACGCAATGGGCTCCCAGGTCCTCCAGGTCAAGTGGGACCTCAGGGGCCCCCAGGCGATGTCATTGGACGACAGGGTGATAAAGGAGAGAGGGTGCGTATTTCCAGCATTTCATGTAGTCTTGAGTATTTTATCAAGGAGGGAAACAAGCAATGAGGATTATAGAACTTCATTTTAAGAGTGAAAAGCCTTTGTTGCTCTACCTTCACCTATTGAATTTAGACTCGTGGATTTTAGCAAATTACTCAGCACTTTATGACTGTCAACTGGATTTACGGGCTGAAATCCTGTTGGTATAACTATGCCTGAAGAAGGGTAATGATATTCTGAGCAGGGGGTGATTTATTGGTAATTAAATTTTTTCTGTTTCTGTCCCAATTTCCATGCAATACCTTTCTTAGCGTAAATGCCTTGAGAGCCACAGGACAGAAGGAGGAAGGCTTTTATTACTGAAAATCCCCACCACAAGACAACACTATCCACAGGGGGAGATTTTCAGTAATTAAAGTCTCTTTCTGTCCCATGGCTCCCATCACTTCCAAGTGATGAAAGCCATTACACAGGAGTTGAACAAGCTGAGGAGAGAAGTAGCATGTGTTTAGTTTCTGAAATCATCCCCCAGCTTTGTTAGTGGCACAATTACACTTCTGAAGGCATGAATTGTGCAACCAGATTTTAGCCATTAAATATCTTCAATGAAAAGTATCACAGTTTGATTTGACAATGCATTGTAAGAAAGCTGGTGATTTGTTTATATATGGAAATTACCATTTGATGACAGACAGCAGTCAAGTGAAGAAAACCATTTATGAACCATCTCTATGAGAATCCCATGTCTCTTTGCCATCACTAGAAAGCAAACTCTCTTTATACGGAGGTGGGAAAAATGCTGCCCTGAGGTTGCATGCAACTCTCCAAAGCTGTTTTTACACTTCCATCCTACCCCATCTGACTTATTTGTCTTTCTGCTATTTTTAAAAAAAGGGTTTACCAAGCCAAAGAAGTTCCAGGGTAATTTCTACTCATAGTTTTTATGAGCAATGATAACTATTTAACACTAATACTAATACGTACCCATCTTTCAACCGGGAGGCAGTGGAAGATAGGAGGGCCTGGCGTGCTCTGGTCCATGGGGTCACGAAGAGCCAGACATGACTAAACGACTAAACAAAATGACCCATCTTTCAAAATCAGAATTTGACTTCTTGCTACTTTGGTTTTAAGTTTCTTTTCCTTCACATTCCTGATGATCCTGCACAGTTTGTGGAAGATCATGCGGGAGAAACTTGGTTCATAAATCTCCCAAAATTGTCCATCCTGATATTAGAAGAAAGATTTGGTCAAGGACTAGTTTTGGGAGGCATCTCCCATGACTTTCTTGGAGCCATCCCTACTCTTGCCTCTGCAACTCACAGAATTTCCGGTTTGGTCTAAGAGATCATCCAACAATGGGTGGCCTCCTTATCACCCAGAAACGTCAGGGAATGTCAGGGACCAAGATCTTCGTCTTAATGCTGGTGATCTTCGACTCCTTCCCCCAAATTCATCCCTGCCTTTCATCCAGTGCAGAGCTATGTCTTTTGCTGTGTTCTGTGTGATTATGTATGTCCACGTATTCATAAATATTAGGACCGTGTTTGCAAAGATATGTCCCTTAAGGTTTTCTTTTTCTTTTTTCTTTTTTCAGGGGCTTCCAGGAGCAAATGGAGCACCAGGGAATCCTGGCCGTCCAGGCAATCCTGGTTCACCTGGCCAACCAGTAATTAACACTTTTGTCATAGTTGCAGGCAGGGGCATATCTATTTCCCAGGCTGCTTTGCTGTATTGAGACATTGTTTGAGAGAATCCATCAGTTTCAGCCTCAACATAAAGAGGGTCTCTCCTTAGTGCGGAAACATATGTTCACCTTGTATTCTAAACATTCTAGACATGTGCACTAGTGCCAACATTTAGATTCATAATTTGGAATTATAGTTCTTCAGATTCAGAATTTGGCATTTTAAAAATTTGGAATTTCTGGATGTTTGAAACTCCATTACAGTCAATATGAATATAATATAGTCAAAATTTTCTGCTTTAGAAAAACAGAAACAGGCAAAACATTTTCCAAGGATTTCCCTGTATCATCTGACACCTTTTCAGTGATCGTGCCAAACAAAAAGAACGCTCATCGACAGCAGTGCCTAAGTATTAGGAGTGGGCATAAACATGAACAGTGGGAATGCCAGTAGGAAATGCCAGCAGCATTAGTAAAGCAGAGGACAATATCCTTTTGCTTTCTAATCTGTAGGAGTAAATGGGACTGTAATGTTAGGAATTAGTATTACAGATACTCAGAACTATCAAATTCAAATTTGGATATATTTGGAACTATTTGTATATTTATTTAAAATATTTTACCTCACCTTTCTCCTCAAAAGTACCCAGGTTGGCTTACAACATTTGAAGGTCAATATTAAAAAGCTGAAAACAGTAAATATATAAATATTTTTAAATTAAACAAGTATATTGAAACTAAATAAAATCAGTACTAAAAACACATTTAAAAGCAACAGACACAACAATCCAATCTGAAAACCCCCTTTCAGACTGCCAGTCACTAAGGAAAAGCTTGTCAGAAGAAAAAGGTATTTGCCTGCTTGCAGAAGGGTAGCAAAGATGGGGCCAGCCTGGCTTCCCACGGGAGGACATACCAGAGTCTGGGAGCAGCCACAGAGAAGGTCCTCTCCTGTGTCTCCACCAAGCGCGCTTGTGAGGGTGGTGGGACTGAGAGAAAAGCCTCACCTGATGATCTTAATGCCCAGTCAGGCTCATAGAGGGAAATGTGGTCTTTTAGATAGCTTTCACCCAAGTCGTTAAAACCAGCACCTTGAATTGTACCCGGAAACGGATCAACAGCCAGTGCAGATGTTGTAACAGGGGAGTTATATGTTCCCTGCAGCCAGCCCCAGTTAACAATCTGGATGCAGCATTTTTGACCCTCTGAAGTTTCTGAATGCTTGCCAGAGGCAGGGCCATGTACTGTATAGCGTTACAGTAATCCAGCTGAGATGTAACTAGGGCATGTGTCACCATGGCCATATCAGACCTCTCAAGAAATGGGTGCAGTTGGTGCACTAGGTTTAACTATGAAAAGGCACTCCTGGCCACCACCGAAAGCTGGACATCCAGGCTCAGAGATGAATCCCGGAGCACCCCCAAGTTGCACACCTGTGTTTTTAGAGGGAGCGCAACCCCATCTAGCACAGACTGAATTCCTATTCCTTGACCTGCCTTTCGACTGACACATTTAAAAGCAACAGACACAACAATCCAATCTGAAAACCCCCTTTCAGACTGCCAGTCACTAAGGAAAAGCTTGTCAGAAGAAAAAGGTATTTGCCTGCTTGCAGAAGGGTAGCAAAGATGGGGCCAGCCTGGTTTCCCACGGGAGGACATACGAGTCTGGGAGCAGCCACAGAGAAGGTCCTCTCCTGTGTCCCCACCAAGCGCGCTTGTGAGGGTGGTGGGACTGAGAGAAAAGCCTCACCTGATGATCTTAATGCCCAGTCAGGCTCATAGAGGGAAATGTGGTCTTTTAGATAGCTTTCACCCAAGTCGTTAAAACCAGCACCTTGAATTGTACCCGGAAACGGATCAACAGCCAGTGCAGATGTTGTAACAGGGGAGTTATATGTTCCCTGCAGCCAGCCCCAGTTAACAATCTGGATGCAGCATTTTTGACCCTCTGAAGTTTCTGAATGCTTGCCAGAGGCAGGGCCATGTACTGTATAGCGTTACAGTAATCCAGCTGAGATGTAACTAGGGCATGTGTCACCATGGCCATATCAGACCTCTCAAGAAATGGGTGCAGTTGGTGCACTAGGTTTAACTATGAAAAGGCACTCCTGGCCACCACCGAAAGCTGGACATCCAGGCTCAGAGATGAATCCCGGAGCACCCCCAAGTTGCACACCTGTGTTTTTAGAGGGAGCGCAACCCCATCTAGCACAGACTGAATTCCTATTCCTTGACCTGCCTTTCGACTGACAAGGAGTACCTCTGTCTTGTCTGGATTAATTTTCAGTTTATTCACCCTCATCTAAGTCCATTACTGATACCAAACACTGATGTAGAGCTAAAGTAGCTTCCTTGGATTTAGGTAGCAAGGAGAGGTAGAGTGTCATCCACATACTGGTGACACTGAACCCAAACACTCCGGACAACCTCTCCCAGTGGCTTCATGTAGACGTTAAATAGTACAGGGAACAAAACAGAACTCTGAGGGACACCACAGGTCAACAGCCTGGGTGTTGAACAGGAATCCCCCAGCTGGGTCAACCCCTCCAGGAGAGACAGCTCAGAAGGATACCATGGCTGATGCTGTTGAAAGCTGCTGAGAGGTCCAGCAGAAACAACAGGGAGGGACACACTGCCGCTGTCCAGTTCTTGGCATAGGTCATCCACCAAAGTGACCAAAGCAGTCTCTTTCCCATAACTAGGCTTGAAGCCAGATTGAAATGGATCTAGATAATCATGCTCATCCAGGAACCCCTGGAGCTAAAAAGCCACTACCCACTCCAACACTTTGCCCAAGAATGGAATATTAGAGACTGGCCGGTAATTATCCAATACCATGGCATCCAGAGGGTTTTTTCAATAGAAGTCTTACTGCTGCCTCTTTTAAGCATCATGGGATCCTACCCTGCTGCAAAAAGAAATTCACTATCCTTTGTACCCACTTGGCCAGCCCCTCCTGGGCAGCTTTTATAAGCCAAGAAGGACAAAAGTCCAGTAGCGTTCATTCCAAGGATCCTGTCGTCATCATCAGGCTGAAAAAACTGAAACGGATTTAGGTAGCAAGGAGAGGTAGAGTGTCATCCACATACTGGTGACACTGAACCCAAACACTCCGGACAACCTCTCCCAGTGGCTTCATGTAGACGTTAAATAGTACAGGGAACAAAACAGAACTCTGAGGGACACCACAGGTCAACAGCCTGGGTGTTGAACAGGAATCCCCCAGCTGGGTCAACCCCTCCAGGAGAGACAGCTCAGAAGGATACCATGGCTGATGCTGTTGAAAGCTGCTGAGAGGTCCAGCAGAAACAACAGGGAGGGACACACTGCCGCTGTCCAGTTCTTGGCATAGGTCATCCACCAAAGTGACCAAAGCAGTCTCTTTCCCATAACTAGGCTTGAAGCCAGATTGAAATGGATCTAGATAATCATGCTCATCCAGGAACCCCTGGAGCTAAAAAGCCACTACCCACTCCAACACTTTGCCCAAGAATGGAATATTAGAGACTGGCCGGTAATTATCCAATACCATGGCATCCAGAGGGTTTTTTCAATAGAAGTCTTACTGCTGCCTCTTTTAAGCATCATGGGATCCTACCCTGCTGCAAGAAGACATTCACTATCCTTTGTACCCACTTGGCCAGCCCCTCCCGGGCAGCTTTTATAAGCCAAGAAGGACAAAAGTTCAGTAGCTTTGATTCCAAGGATCCTGTCATCATCAGGCTGAAAAAACTGAAACCTATCCATTAATACAGGACAAGCAGGAGCCATAGTTACATCTACAGGGCCTGTATTAACTACAGCTTCCACGTCAGAGCAGATCCAAGGGATTTTGTCATCGAAGTGCCATGCAGATTCCTCCCAGCAAGCTCTATTGTGGTCTACAATCTCTTCCTGGGGGCTGGCATGTAATAGGCCCTTGAGCACTTGAAAGAGCTCCACTGGCCGACTCTTTGTAGATGCAATGATGACAGAGAAAAATGACTTCTTTGCTGCCACTCCTGCCACGGAATATTCCTTTCATTGGGCTCTAGCCCCTAGTGGGTCAGATCCTCTCTGAGTTTTCTGCCGTAGTTGCTCTAGTCTCCGTCCCACTTGTTCCATCACCACCACCTCCCCACTAAACCAGGGAGCCTAGTTGGCTCTCCTTCATGGGAGGGGACATTTAGGAGTGATTGTGTCAACAGCCCTGGCCTTTCCCCCATTCCAAAGGTGAACCAGGGCTTCAACAGAATCACCTGCCGAGTTGACAGGAAACTTCACAAGAGATGTTAGGAAACCACTTGGATCCTTCAGCCTCTTGGGGTGAACTATGTTAATCAGTCCCTCACCCCTACGGAGGCTCTGAGTTCCAGTAAGTCTATACCCCACCAGATGATGATCTGTCCATGACAATGGGACTACAGAGAGTTCTTCCATACCCAGACCACCAACGTCTGGGCCAGTACAAAAAAGCATGAGTGGGGTCAGATACCATTTGGGACAGACCCATGGTCATCATGGAGGACATGAAGTCCTGAGCCACTCCTGACTAGGCTGCCTTGGCACGGATGCTGAAGTCCCTCAGCGCAAAAAGCTGAAGGGGCTCCACTACCACATCTGAGACCAGGTCAGCAAGCTTAGGCAGGGAGACTGTTGAGCAGCGATGTGGGAAGTACACCAATAGAATTCCTATTCTGTCCTGGGCTCCGCACTTTCAAATACACACATTCAAGCCCAGAAAACTGAGGGATGTACCACCTGGTGAGGGGAGATAGTATCACGATAGACCTCTGCAGCTCCACACACACACCCGGCCCCCCAGCTCCTGCTTGCTGCTGCACAGGGAACCCTGGTGGACAAAGCTGGGTGAGATTGACACTCCCAGCCTTATCCAACCAGGTCTCTGTTATATAAGCCAAATCAGCCTGTTCGTCCACGATCAAGTCCTTGATGGCTACTGTTTTTCCATTTACCAATCTGGCATTTAGCAGTGGCATTTTCAACCCAGGGAGCCTGTCACCAAGGCCCAAACTATCCAGGCTATTTAAATAGCAGCAGCATTTTCAACCCAGGGAGCCTGTCACAAAGGTCCAAACTATCCAGGCTATTTAAACTGGAAGACAGCTTAGGGGCAACCAATACTCTCTGAATATAGTGTTAGTCGGTGAATTCCAAATATTTCTGAATCCAAATGCACATCCCTAATAATTTTGTAGGGATTAATGCTAGCCTGCTTTGAGTACTTCAGGAGTTAACTTACACATGCATCACTTCTGTTTTATTATTCTTATCTGGGCTTTTACACGAAAAGAGAACCTATTCCCTATTGTTCATTTTTACCTGTTAATTATTGTTCATTGTTGTTTATTACTATATTTCTTTTTTTTTTCCTACCCCCAGGGCGGTCCTGGACTCCCTGGTCTCAGAGGATTCCCAGTAAGTAATAGGAGTGGTGCTCGTGATTTTTCGTTTAGCACCTTAAGAGAGTCTTGCTCATGCTTAACTTTGCCTTCTAGGGAGATCCTGGACCTATTGGGCCAGTAGGTCCAAAGGGTGCAAAAGGCGAGCCGGTAAGTGGATAGAGTTTCTCTCTGTTTCTGGTGGGCTTTGGGGAGTTTGGGATTTTCAAAAGAGGAAGAAAAAATATATTAATTATCATTGAAAGCTGCTTCAGAGTCTTGATTTTTAATGGTACTACACTGAGTGATAAGCAAATAAGTATGATGTGTCTCTATATCAATATGTGTGATAATTTCACCATGTGTCATCCTTGAGCCATCCAAACATTGTTTCAAGCAGCACTACCATGGCCAGGATCTTGGTAGCAAGTCCCAGTATTCAATATTTCTGTATTGCTTCCATGCCATATATTTCAAATTCATTGCAGAAGCTTTTAACTCATCAGTTATGTCAAGATTCAGGGGCCCTAGCAACTGCTCTAGAATTCTTGAAATGTTGAAGCTACACCAAAAGCTTGTTCTACCTCAGGGGGTGGGCCACAATAGAGTTCCAGAAGCCGAAAACCTCTCATCCCCAACATTTTGAAAGATTTCTTTTTTTTAAAGTTGCCATTTGCACCCCTGATTGTACACCCAGCATGCACCAAGCATCTTGTCAGTTACCCACAATTAGCCATGGCCACTTGGTGTGATTTATCCTGTACAAATATAAAATTGCAATAGGATTTTGGCCATCTAGTACGTACTGTACAAGGAAAAGTTCTGGTGAGCTTGGAAATTAGCACATTATTTTATGTCTTTTTAGTTTGTCCTAGTATATTCATCCATATTCTCCCTTAAATTAATTGTGGAATAATAGCTGCTTCTTTTCCATCCAGAGAAACTGATTCCCACTTAGTTTGTGAATGGTAATTTTTAAAAATGAGTTTTGCTATTTTGTTTTCCAGGGGGATCCTGGAGCAGGTGTAGGTGGAGAAGGACTTTCTGGCCGGAAAGGAGAGCCTGGCAATCCGGTATGTTACATCCTGCTCTCAGTAAATGAGTTGTTGAGAAAAAAATGGTGGTGGGTGCCAATGGAAGAAAGGGGAGGCAAAGGGATAGCAGGTAGGCTCATATTACAAGAGAGTTTATGGTTTTTATATCCTGCTGTACATAACCCTTATACATGCCTATCTCAGCACTTGTGCTCTCTCTTGGAAATGGGCAGTGCAGTCCTATGGGTGATTACTTAGAATCACGTTCTACAGTGTCTGGTGAGGTTTATATTTACATGTAAAAGTGCATGGGAATGGCAGCTATAATTGGATGCCTATTGACTAATCAGTGTTCCTAGAGCTGTGAGGGCATCTGATGGATAAGGCCTTGATTTTGATGAGCTTTTCCTCCTGTCCTCTCCAAGGGAAGCCCTGGACTTCCTGGAAATCCAGGACCCAGGGGGCCATTTGGTGATCCTGGACCTCCTGGACCACCGGGACCTCTTGGGCCACCAGGACCCCCTGGCGAGTTTGTCAAGGTATGTTTTCACCTCCCTCAGTTACTCTGTGTTTCAAAAGTCCCTTGATACACTTTTCACGGGATGCTGTTCATCTTTGGTCACCTCTGTTGGCTTTGTAAGGTGAGCTTGTGGTCCCATCGGCACACTTACATCTCCTTTGCCCACATGCTTCCATGCCCATGAGTATTCCCCTTGAGCCCCTCTGTAGCAGCTGCATGCTAGTCTCTCATCTTGCTATCATGCACCTTTTCTGGCATAAACATCAACCCCCACAGAGCTACCAAACCTGTATTTTGTCTTTTGTAAGGCCCAAATTGCTGTCTATGTATGTAGGCTTGGCCAGATAGGAAACACAATCCAGATACCCAGTTTTGTTTAGAAGTACCCGTACATATGAGCAGGAATCCCAGCATCTCCTGTGACCCAGGCAAGCATTTGTGGAACATGTCTTGTGATGCCGTTTTGGGATAAACCCTGAAAATATTATTGCAATAAATACCCTGGCATTTCTCATGCACCATCTATTGCAACAGTTTCTTGTTATTAGATACAAGTGTACAGCTATTTGCTTGTGATTATTTGGTGCAACTGTTCTCTTGCTTAGTATGTAGAAAATGTTTGCTTACATGTGGGCAATTTTTTTTTCAGGGAGCGAAGGGTGATCGAGGTGAGCGAGTAAGTGATCTTTTTTTTTTCCTGGCTGCTCTGCCTTTTCTTGTGGCGTATTTGACCCTGAGAGATCAGTCACTGATTGCAAAACAACTGAATTGTGTGGTTTGGAGAGATCTGCAGGTCATTTTCCCCCTGCTCCTGTACAGAGACAAAACACTCACTCTGTCCATCTGTCTAGATCTGGAGTAGGCTGAAGACAGTTGTCTAGAAGTTGATGGACTGCAATTTCTACCACGCCTAGCCAGTGTATGCAGTGATGAGGAATGCTGTGAGTTGCAGCCCAACAACTTCAGTTTTTAATTTATTTTATTTTATTTCTAGATGGCACCATCTAGTCAGGTGACTGGTGCCTGCTAGATCCAAAGGACCTTCCAGCTCTGTGGTTAATCCATGTCCAATGTACCTCTTGGATATCGCTCTTCTTGGGAAGACAGTGGCTCTGTTTTACAGGCTATTTTTTCGGTAGTGTGTAAGAAAGAGCAGGAGCGTGTCCTCATACTCTCCATTTTTACAGGCATATCTAATACATAAACATACAGAGAGCAAGAGAGTGAGAGCACAATGTAGAGTATGAATGAACCTAGCCAGAGTTGTGTTTGCCAACACATACAGCATAGCATAGGCATCCTTCAGTCTCGAGAGACTATGGTAGTGTGCTCTGTATGGAGAATTTGGAACAGCGTCTAGTGTGGCTGAGAAGGCCAATTCGAGAGTGACAGTCCCTTCCACACTGAAGACAAATCCAATCTGTCCCCTGTCTGGCTCCCTGCTTTTGCTGCTTTTGTGACTTCCTCTTTGCCTC